TCGTGTGTAATGTTCTTTGTATTCGGCTTTTTTTTTAAACCTTTGATACAATATAGACTGCCTGATGAAAATCTATTTCAAAGTATGAACAGTTGAACACTGTTTTATTATCTAGCTGAAAAGTTCTGTTCCTTGAACTTGTTTGCTGTTACTCAGAGACTAGTTTCTTCTCCTTGTGCAAGCTGTCCGTGTTTGTATTCATTTTTGTTTCCTTGTGTTAGGTTTGGCCCCTGCCATTCCAGAGGACTTGTACCACCTTATCAAGAAGGCTGTCTCTGTCCGCAAGCATATGGAGAAGCAACGCAAGGTGTGTTTTACTTTTCAGCGTTACCGTATTCACGGCTTAGCGAAGTCTTGGGTTCACTGCGTGATGCGGTTGTGAATTTAAAGTTATATGTCTTTGCCAAATTAACAGATGTTAACTAGTGCCTGAAAACTGAATACATTTCCACTTTAGTTCACTTTGTTTCAAAGTAATTTGAATATCCAATGTGGTGATGTCTTGTTGTGACCAGTCTGTGCGGTCACTCCATGCATCTCTTTGGAAAACAATGATGTGGCTTTTGGTAAATGTACCAGGGTGAACAATATCCTGCTTCGATTCTATTTGGTGTGGTTACATGTTTGAGGATAAGGATTCCAAGTTCAGGCTCATTCTCATCGAGAGCCGTATCCATCGCCTTGCTCGCTACTACAAGACGAGGCGTGTTCTTCCCTCCAACTGGAAGTAGTAAGTCCTTGCTAATATTCTTACGGTGTCTTACCACATCTGGATGTCGCTTCACTGGCACATGTTGTGTGAATGTACTTCACATTTACTTACTACTAGCTTTTTAAATAGTGTCGTCATGGCGATTCACATTGCCATCGTCATGTCTCTGGCCGGCCTATCTACAGAATGGTAGAACATTTGGACAATTTCATTGTAGAGTCGCATGCTGAAGAACGCCAAAGCCTAAACTTGAGAACGGCAGCTTGTAGGACACAATGTTCCGGTGCGGATTTTTGTCTAAGAACGTGCTATACGACTGCAGCCATGAGTAAAAATAAGGACGTCCCAGGCTAACCCCTTGGAAATATCGTTCTTGGGTGCACGACTGTACTGCACATATTTCTCTGGAAAAATTGGGTGCCATGGTTTTGTTTGCAGATTTAAAAAAGCAGTGAAGCTCCCATTTTGCCCTACATGCGTGTTCTTACTTGACCTATAGGCTTGAGGTTACAGTAAGATTTATACACAAGTAAACTCCCTATGCCATAAATCCATTCTATCTATTGAGTTTATACATTTTTTCCGGGGTGGTGGTAACTTGACGTTTTCGTTCTGTAAAATGTATCGATAATGCCGAGTGACCCATTGATATAGATTGCCGGAGATGAGTTACAATCAGACCCAATCAATTGCCAGCAGCAAGCCATTGCTTCTTCCAGATTACCTCAATAAATAATTTCATTGCTATTTAGCATGTTGGCACAGCTAAATGGTTGATGTGTGAATAACTCTCTTGTCTCATTTCTGTTTGCTCGTTTGCCTGCAGTGAATCATCCACCGCCTCTGCTTTGGTTGCATAAATTGCCTTCAGCATAACATTCGAAAGACTAAAAGCTAATAATGATGGCTGTTGTTTAGTGAGAGTCGTGTGATGTCCGTGCTATGTTTGCAAGCTCCTGTAACCACAGTGCAGATTGGGGTATGACATTTTTGAAACTTGTTAGTGTCCTTTTGCAGGACTTGCATGGACCTCCCTTCTCAGAGGCTGTTTACATGAGAAAAAAAGGCCTGGGCGTATTCACCTCAGGCTTATTTATTTCCACCAATTACAACATGGGCTTATATGTGAAGTGATGCAATTAAGAAAAAATATCCCAAATTTACAAGTCCGTGGCCATAGCGCAAGTGGGTCTGTCATATACAGCATACTCTCCTGGCGAACTGCACTCTGTTTACATGAGAAATTTCAAACCTGGTCGAGTTCAGCCCGGGTTGAAAGTCTGTACGATAGACAAAATAGGTGAGCGTTTACATGAAGACAGTTGACCCGGGTCAAATACTGATATGCCGCCAAAAGTCAAGTTCTAGAGTCATGTGTGATCACGTGAATCCGTTCGCGCGAAATTTGCAAATGCAGTCATGTTCAAAAACCTGGCGCGGGATACGCACAGAAGTACGTTCGTACAATTTTCCTGACCCGGGTCAAGCGCGTAAACGCGCCATTCATTTTGTGTACATGGCGGGCTGAAACGCCTCGTGTAAACACAGCCTAACGGGCTGTACTATGGTAGGAAGACTCCGTATTGTGAAAAATTCTACTTGACTGGCGAGTCGCACCATATTCCCTAGCGTTTTCTTTTATTTCCGTGTAGTACTGAATACGTGATCAAGTATTCCGATTTGGGTAGAAGTGGAAATTGGACTGGAGATTGTATTTTAAGATAGCTACTTCGTATGAATAGGATGAAGGGCGCAGACATCACGCCAATACGCTACTTGTTCGAGATGTATGTGTATTTTATAACAATAATAAAAAAAATTATTATTGAAACCCAAAATCGATTTTCTCGTTCCTACCATCAGTGGAAAAAACGGAACTAAAGAATACAACGAAAGAAACTGAAGTTAAGTACTGTGTTAAATAGAAGGGTGTTAGAAAGAACATCATGATATAAGTGCAATAAAACCACTAGAGGAAACGCGAAAAGGTAACAAGATTGCGTAACCAAAGGTAAGAAGGCACTGAACGAAGTGCCAACCTACGAATACAACCTCAGTGCAAAAACGTGCCCTTTCTGCTCACACAAAACAGGCTTATGAATACGTATACAAACTGCCTCAAGGACTGTCAACTGCTGAACATAACGAGCACGACACAGTACAGAAAAACGAGAGTCATCGTACACACAAAGACAGTCAGGACGAGATAACAAGTGTAGATACACCGCCGACTTCTTACGATCAACACATTCATCCGCCTCATCTCGCTCTTTCCAATCCGACTCCTCCTCGTCCATCCCATCGTCCTCTTTCTCGTTCCGCTCGTCATCCACACGATCATCATCACCACCCTCATCTGCCTCGTCCTCTGTCTCTTCAGCGACCGTTTCTTCATCCAATTCCTCTTCCATCTTCTCATCATCCGTCTCATCCTCCGTTTATGTACAGCCCCCTCTTCTCCCATTTGCTAGCTGCTCGTCCCGTGACCGGAGCTGTTCCCCCAGATCCACTTCACTGACTGACTCATGATACTGCTCGACCCTCCTCCTGTTGGTACTCACGGTCCGCAACGCGCGGTCCTTGGCCGTTTCCGGCATAAATCTCTGTGGAGTAGTTTGCTGTTGCCCTCCCAGATCTCTGGATTAAGGGTGTAGATTCAGTGAGATGTCTGCATTGCCTGTCTTGCTGAGTAGGTGCTGCGGGCGCCGTCGCAATTTGTGCTTTCGTGCACGTTCGTTCGCACCCTACTCTATGGCAAAATACGATTCGCTCATCATCTCGGTATGCATGCGTCTGCATTTTCATCGTCACGAGGTGGACGCATTACCCACAAACCGCTTGAGACAATGCCGCCGTGCATGTTCGTTCATAGCCTACTCAATGGCAAACGACGGTCCGCCCATCATCTCGGTATGCATGCGCTACATGCAACAGCTGCTTAACGGCTTGAGACAACGCCGTCGTGCACGTTCGTTCCCACCCTACTCTATGGCAAAAGACGATTCGCTCATCATTTCGGTATGCATGCGTCTGCATTTTCTTCGTCACGAGGTGAGCGCTCGTGATCTCGGTATGCATGCGTTTGCATTTTCCCCATCACGAGGTGGGCAAATAGTTGTCCCACAAGCCGCTTGAGACGATGCCGCCGTGCGTGTTTGTTCATAACGGTGCAAACTCCGAGGTGAGCACTCCTCGTCGTCAGCGTCTCAGTATGCATGCGCTTGCATTTTCTCCATCACGAGGTGAGGCAATTGTCCACAAACAGCTTGAGACAATACTGCCGCGCACATTTGTTCTCAAACTAGTGCCAACGCTTTTTCAATTCTGTATGCTTCCACCAAAAACCTCTAAGCACTTACATGTACATGCACAACACAGTCAAGCACTTAAAGTAACTACACGGACAGACTTGACACCTTGTCTTCGGCATTGTTCTACCTGTCCGACAAGTTCGTGCATGACTAGTACTCGCAGACCGTGAATAGTTAGCGTAGATCCATGCACTTGAGCGCACATCACTTCACCTTTACTCAAACACGACGCTAGACGGCTACCTAATGCATCGCATCATTCATTCATTTCAGATGTATCGCAGGTGATCATCTTTTTCACAGGGCTACATCCTGAGTACATAATTATGTACCTCTCTTCGAGTAGCGCGCAAGTGATCGTCTTCTTCGCAGTGGTACCTCTCTTCATTTTGTCATTGCCGGCTAACCTGTTGCTTCATGCAGAGTCGAGCAGGCTTACAACGGTGATGCATTGCTTTGCTCGTGGAGTATCAGGTTTGGTGACGGTGGTGGTGGTGGTGGTGCTCACCGTGATACTCCAGAGGGAAAACAGAGTTTGTTGCACGCACACAGTTTAACAAATATAGATAAAAACAGAGTTTGTAATAAAAATAAAAGACATTTCATTGATACAGTTAAAAAAAAAAAAAAAAAAATTTGTAACAGCATAACAAACACTTTTCAAAGTTACCGTCACACTTTTCAAAGTTACCGTCACACTTTTCAAAGTTACAGTCACACTTTTCAAAGTTACCGTCACACTTTCTTCAAAAGTTATGGTAACACAGGTACATCGCAGTACACGGGTGTTACACGTGATCTGGTAACACTATTTGACGGATGTCACGGTAAAGTAATCAGGGTCAAACCACAAATTGACAGGGTCAAACCACAGCCTGTCAAATCATGACAAGGTCACTTCCGGGTCAACTTTGTTCTCAAACCCTCCTGTTACCTTCTACTGCTCACCATGGGAGTTCAATTGTGTTTTCTTTCAGGTTTTCGGAGTGGAAGGTTGGAGGTCATTCAATCGTGAATTAAGAAGTATTTGTGTCAAGGCAGTCCGCAGGAATTGCACGCTAAAGCCGTCTGAGCAGCCGCCTTCTCCACTGGACCGTTGCAGCAATATGTTCTTTTCTTTGTTCTTTTCCTTATTTGAAAGTCGAATTTGCTGCATCCGTCGACCTTGAACAAGCGTTAGTCTCTGTAACGCGAGCTAGTCTGGCTGTTTTTGTACTCAACAAGCGATGAACTACAACACTCTATACGTACATGTACCTACTAAAACATATAGCTTCCATTATACTATTTGCACGACCTTTGCTATCATCAACAACAGGATATATCGCCCGCCATCATGTGCTTGCTTTCTAGGAACCATGAGGCACCACATTGCGACTAACGCTTCAAAATCCTTTCTCCGGCATTTCTACACTGTGTACATGTATTCTGGAATGGCCAATGACATGTACATGTATATCTCCACGCAGCCACATGATTGCAATGAACAAAAAGCTTAGACTTGCAAAACAATCTAGCCCTTGCTGTACTGAGATTTGCCCCTATAAAAAGCGCTTGGGTCTGCATTATACTTGTGCAAGTCAAGGTTCACTTCACAACGGGCGAGGGGGGGGGGGAGGATCCTGCCCAGACTGGAATTGGACAAGGCAGCAACACTTATTGGGATCCGGCAGGACAATCCCGGGCCATCGACTGAACTAATGCAATCAAGGCCACTGGCATGATACTATTAACAGAGGCACTGATGACGGCCCCGGACTTACTGCCATACTATTTTAGCGGAACGGCCAGTTTCATATACATGTATGGTATAAAATAGAAAATATTGAAGAAATCCGCTGTCTCCACTGAAGGCAGTCCGTCTCTCAAACAATCAGACACTACTACTGAAAACGGTATCTCACATACATCTGTGCATTGTACAATTCTTCAAAAAAAGTTTTTTTACTAGAGCCACGTAAACCCGTCATGTGTGAACCATGAATAAGGGGAGTGGTATTATTGTAGTTCTGTCCAAACTTCGGCCTAGGCCCCTTTCCTTGTCGCTGAGAAAGCGTTTAGGTTAGAAACGTCTGATTTTGTGAGAGAGACAAATTCCAGACAAGATGTATACAAGCCAAGTCTGGTTCTGTCTCCATACTGGCACCAATGAAAGCAAAATATGGATATGCGATATGTACATGAAATAATGGCCGCTATGATAAATTTAATTTCATTACCACTTCTAAGATCTTCGCTCAATACCAGTACATACATTGTTAGATTGACAGCATGAAACAAGGTGGAGGACACTGTGTTCGGAAACAGTGACCTTAATACAGCCTTCCGCGGTTGGCAGAACTCTGATTTCTGTGGACCATTTGAACCATTATTATGGGTGTCGCACCCGGTTCTGACCCTCATTACGCTAGGGGGTTAGGAGACTACTCCTGACGTCGTCTTGTTTTCTTCGCTCTTTTCTTTAACTTGTATAAAGACTTCTTTTTCTTTCTTTTTTTCATGCTGTCAATCTAACAATTGCGTGAACTATAACAAGGTTTATCTAATACTGGTTTTTAACCAGTGTTAGGTTATATCACAGTACATACATGTAAACGTGTCTGATCTCCAGTTCCGTGTGTCGGCTGCCAGGGATTGTGAGGAGCCAAGATCCCTGAACTTCTGTAGTGAAATAGTGTGGCTGGTCGAAACATCACTGGAGACAATTATTGAATGATTAGTATATTGTTCGTGGCTGAGTTGACGTCTCCTTCAGCCCTTCCATTCAAGACTCTGTGATTTTCACTGTTTTTATTTTGCCATTATCTTTCTTTACGGAGTTGTTGTTGCTGTTCATTTTGCTACTCTTTCTTTTGCCCTCCCCTTATTTTTATTTATCGCCGTGGTTGGCAATCCCCCACTCTCTTAAAAGGTGGCAGTTCCCCTTTTCCGTATACTACACTCTTTGGACCAGAAGCCATGAACAGCTAGGAATATCCAAACCAAACTTGGCAATGATGTTGAGGGTGTTCATACCTAGGTTCAGAATCATTTTTTATACATCTCACATATCTTGAAGTGCCGAACTTGCTCTCAGGCAAAATGCGTTTATATCGCATGTACAGGGCAAGGATTGAGCCAAAATAGAACAGAGGCTAATGGTGCCCAGCAGTATAAATTTTCTCAGAACTCATGCAGACTGACAGCTCAAGGTGCTAAGCTACACTAAACCTTGCAAACATATGTACAGTGGAGCAATGTGATTTTCAGATTTAAAGATCAGAAACGCGATGTTTACAGATAATTCAGAGACATGCCAGTTGGAAGAACCTCTCTGGGATATTGACAGTTCTGTTTAGTTAAGCACCTAGCAAATTTCATGTAGATGTGAATAATGCCCAAGATTATGATTCTATGACAAGTAAGCCCTGAGATATGTTGGCTCAAACTTGCCGGAGTCCATGAAAAAGAGGGTCAAATTCAGGAAAAAGTACACTCCAGTTTCACCTTTCAAAAGCCACCAGCAGCATATGTTTCTTCTTCCTTGTGCTGTGCCTGATCTAGAAACCCTATCTTCACTGCTCTGCAATGCTTACTTGCCTTTTGCTCCTCTTCTGACGACTTTCTACGCTTGTAGTACAGTTTTCCCCTTGAAAGACACCTAGATTTCTCTCCAACGACGGACTAACAGTGCGTCCCATACGCTGTACTACTTCGGCAAGCTCACTGTGGTCCTCATTGAACACGATCACTGCCAGGAACACAGCAGTCTCAACAGTTATGGAGCTACAGAACGATTCCTTTGGACAATAGTGCCATAGAGTGCTTCATTGGCATTCTGTGTGGCATGACGAACACAGCCCTGTAGGAGGGATTTGTCGGCAAGATGGACATATACAGGTTTAATTTCTTCAAAAACTGCAACAGGGATAGTGTTGTTCGACGATAAAGAAACTGCCACAGAAGCATTGCCATATCCACACTTCTATTGCTGCCATCTGCACCATGAGTCCTTCTGGGCAGAACTGATTGCATTTCTCGCCATCCTTGGACTGTACGCTGTGGCAAACAGATCCCAAATAACACGGGCCATCACTGTGACGAAGCCTGCAATCCTGCAGATAGCATTTCCAAAATAGTTCCGTCGGGAGTCTCCTTCCTTGTGCAGAAAGTACAATAGCGGGTCAACACTTCCACGTCCACAAATTTGTGCGTCTCCAAAGCAATCACAGTCTGCATGCCATATAAGGAGCTGTATCCTCGTCGCATCCATGTTCCGTCCGTTGTGACGCGATTTCGGCTGGCGATTCCTCCCCGGCCGCAACTCGTTGTGTGAACACAACTTCAGCAGCATTTTTCATGCTCAAACTTGCAGTAGCTTTAGCAGCTTGGTGAAGATTCTTCACGAGGCGCTGGTAGTTCTTCTTTGCAACCGGCGCTGGCAAATCGAGGAATGCACACAATTTCCGGAAATCCTCGCGGCCTCGTTCAAGCAGGCGCATAGCCAGTACGCTCTTTCTATTCAATTAAAAATAACTGGATGTCTTTCCCACTGCGGGCGGTGAAGCAACAGCAGTGCAGTAGTTGCATGCCACTTCAATTATGGAGACTAGGCCAGCTCTTACATTTTCTGCAAACTGCTGATGTGGACAATAAATTCTACAATTAAATTTAATTTCTGCAAACTAAAATTCCTGTTGTCAGAATCAAGGACTTTATCACTCTCCTCACTCGAGTCTTCATTGGAGTCACCAGCGCTCTCAGTATCTACATCTGCAAGTAAGTTCAGATCGCCAGCCAAGGATTCGCAGCTACGAGACGTGTCAGGTACTCCCAATTGCTCAGAGTCACTTTCAGTTTGAGCACGAGATGCAGACTCGTTTTCTTTCTCCAGATCTCTGCGCTTGGGGCTCTGGAACTGGTTCCCGTAGAAAACACGCTTCTTGGCTCTGTAGTTAGCAGACTATCTCCTCTTATTGCCAATGACCAGAAGACAAAAGCTACAGAGAACAGCGGACACGCCAATTTCCAAATGTTTCTGTACTTCCTTTGACGCGGATTTGCATTTTTTTGTTCGTGCTGAGAGTGACACCGTACCAATGGTAACCTAGGGTACCTGCTGACTGTACTGCATGCAGAGCTGAGTAGATGTACGTGTCGGTACGGGGTACAACTAGTAAAAGCCAACACGGCACACACGTACAAAGAGCAGGCGGTCTTGGCACCCGCGGCCGCCGCGATCCACGCGGTGAACCGGAACGAAGATTGATTGCGCTTGCGAACTGCATTCAAAGTGGAGATCAGCTGATTTTTTACAAATTCGCAGTGGGAGTTGGTTTGAATTTTTAAATTTTCCCAACCGTCGTGTTGTTTACCGCATAAAAAATTACACCAGCGGAAAGTTCATCACTTCAGGAGGAAAATGAGCCGGATATGGCCTCATTCTGACAACTTTCATTTTTTGGACCTTTTTTGGACCCAAAGGGGATCTGCCACCTTCTAACGTTGGCCGGTGTTTCCACCGAGTCTTGAGATGTTGTAATAAATATAATAATAAGGCCAAAACAAAAAATAGGCTTGTTTCCGGTCGGCAACCCCTCAAAAAGGAGACTCGGTCGGCCGGAATGAAACTTTTTTTGGATACTTTTTTTGGTTCCTCAATCATTGTGGTATTGATGGACAAGAGCACCTACACATGTACATTGTACTATCATGGCAAGGATCAATGTCAAAGTTGACTGACTCACTGTTCTTGTACAGCATGTGGTGTATTCCTGTTTTCGTACATCCTGAGAAATCAAGCAAACAGTTCGAGTCCTTCCAGCTCCGTTATTCTAGCTCGTATCGACGCCGGAGGTTTTCGAGCCGACCGCTGAGAATCTCTGCTACCTTGTAGGTGTTTCGATTGTGGAATTCGGTTGAGATTTGACTGAGTTATGACTCGTTGAGTGCACCTGCACACATGGCATTGCCACCGTTTGTATACATTTGGGACCAAAAAAATGTTTCAGAATTTGGGAAAAAGTGGCCCGGTCGGCCGACCGGAAACAAGGTCATTTGTTTGGGCCTAAAATAAATGTGTTAGTGGCATTGTGAGACATGGATCATGGAGAACATTAATTTCTCATTAAAATGACGTCAAAAGTAAGTCGCAAAAATCGTGAAATAAATTTAAGGACGGCTCTTTGCATTGTACTAATGGGCCCACGCAACATGTAACGACTACGTAACGTCGTTTGTGTGAAGCAATTTTTGCCACTGAAACAAAATAATTGCGTAGAGTGAGACTTAGTGTAAGTCTTAAACCCGCCTAGCTGTCTAGACTAGTCCCCATTGTGACGAGTACTAGTACATGTCGAGTAGCCATCAACCACGCAACCAGTAGTGCAATGTATGTAGCACATTCGGCAAGTACAAGTAATAGTTAGTTCGCGCCGGCGTCGAGTCGGAGATTGCTTACCCCCTCCTCCGCACTCCCAAGAACCGGCTGTACACAGTCAGCACGCAGCACAACTAATACTTGCCACAACGCAGTGCCAGTGCTAGTGCCAAGTAGTGGAGAAGCTGCGCCACGTCAGCACTTACTGTGTCATCGAGACGCACATATACATGTAAGTACATGACTGTCATGATTGTATCAACGTCATAGTCATAGCAAAACAAAAGAGTTGAAATTTTTTTTTCCGGGTGCATAGGCATGGTACATGGTCATACATTGTACTCATACTAGTCATAGGTAGCTTAGCGATAGCATAGCTATCATGATGTATACAGTATCGCGCTAGCAACACATTATTATTTTGCGCAGAACGAACCTTAGTAAAACAACATTCAGCTTATCATACTGCCTTACTGGTGTTGTAAACTCCTGATCAGTATTCCTTCCAGAACTACTTGCCTAATTCGATGCCAGCATGGGTTTGAATACTATTGATGCTTTTTTCTGCCTCATGGGCGCGCTTGTTGTAGTGTTTGGCATTGGCTCACTATTGCTGTGGGTTTGCTGCGAGCGGGACAACAGAGGACTACTTCGGAGTGGTGGTATCGCTCTTTCCCTGGGCAGCATAATACTCGCTTGCGGAGCGATAGCCATGTGGAAAGATTTGCACCGGGTCGCCCGCATTTGAAACAGGTACATGTATGAGGATACGTGAAGGATTTCACCTGCGTGTAGAGCTGCTTTCAACTTTCTATTCAGATGTTTTCTGCTAAGGCGATACTGATATGTTTGGTGTATCTTTCGTTGCCTACAGTTTGTGATCATCCACACCTGGCGGTATCATGCGATCGGAGTGATGCTGCTGAAGACAACCATTTGGAACTGGAATCAGTAGTTGACGTCTCCTTGCAACACTACGGAGCCGCGTCTTACCATCAGCCGGCGCATGTTGGAGGAAGAGGCGCGGTGTGGACGTACAGTCGTGTTGTTAGTGAAGCGCAAACGGTGTATGAACTCCCGCACATACATGTACATGTAAGACAGGGAAGCTGAGATCACTCATGGAGATTGTAGTTCACTGCAACTACTTACTTACACGCACAAGTACACCGTTGAAGCTGGATGTGGAGAAAGCTAGCAGTTAGCTCAGCACGCAGTGGATCGTTTTGTACTATCTGTGTAGTGACTCGGCTCCTCAACAGCTCAGGTCTACCCACGAAGTACTACTACTACTTGTAGTACCTGTTGGCTGTCCGTCTACGGAGTAGCCATTTGATCTAACTAAGAATAAACATGACATTGTTACACATACACTTTCATGCATACATGTATTGTATGCATGAAAGTAAATGAATTTTACAAAAAAACTCTTGAACCATAGGATAGGACAAAACAATCGATCCTTCTCAGCAAGGCTTCTGGCAATGCTACACGGCTAGAAGATGACTTGCTCCAAGATACTTACACTCGTCCTAGACATGTGGAATATCATCCTAAAGGTCTTGAACCTGAGGGATACCATCATGATTATCTTCAATATGGCGGTTATCTCCCTTCTTCTTATATCCTTTCCTCCTGACTTGCCCTACTCTGAATGTTCCTCCAACGAAATTGTATTTCGTTACAGCAATTATCACTTCTGCATTCTCCTTTATCATTACGTCAATGTATATATGGAAAGAATATCCCTGTTACAATTTTTTCCACATTCCGTTCCCCTCCACATTACATACTATTCACTTTACTGTAAAGTTTTAACGTTGATCCCTTTCACTGCATTATATTATCGAAACACGATAATGGACTTTTGTGATTTGGTCAGAGTGAACTTGTTATGAGGCATACAAAACCGGTAACCTCGCATCGACAAGACACACAACCTTCCTCTAGGTTTAAAGAGCGATTGTCTTTTTAAAACAAGCTAAGAGGCATCAACAATTCAAGGATCGCGATCTCAGGAGGAACTGATTTCATATTGTAGTTACCGAAGAAGAAGAAGAAGAATATATATTTCGTAACGGCTGTATATGTACGTGGGGGAACGTTGTGTGATTGACAAAGAGGCAGAAATAAGCTTATCAAAAGAAATTCTAGAACTCATAATTATTCGAGCTTAGAAGTTGCGACTTCGGCGGTTATTATTGTTAAAATTATTAAATTTTGTTAATCGCAATGTCGACCTCGCAAATTCTGCTAATCGCCACACGAACACTCGTGCATCGGATCTATGTAAAGGGCCATCACAAAGACCACATTTCTGGGCTATTCAAGTTTGATTTTCTCCCCTTTCCCGGAGAAAAAAAGATCAACGAAAAATGATATATTTACATGTACATGTAAGTTAACTCAGCCTGCTGATATCTACATGTAGGCGAATATGCAGAATTCGAGATTGGTACAGTAAAAATAATGTCAAAAGGGCATAATAGATAAAGACAAGGGCCGATTTCAGAATCAGTTTGTAGGACGCAAGTAGATCAAGATGGTGAGATGTTCAATTAAATCTACATGTACATTGTAACCATGTGGTTTCGGAGCAACGAACTATAATGCCGGATTTGGTTGAAACGCTCTGATGCATCCATAATTGCATAAGAAGTCAAGTCAGTGTCTCTGTCCCTGTGTCAGAATGTATGGAGTGACTACGCTGACAATCGAGCTAGTATTGGCATGCATTATACATGTACAATGTACATGCAAGATTGTCATTGTTGGCCTATAAGGGAAACACATTCATTACGATGGCCGGCAGCTCTTTACAGAGCCAATACGTCATCGCACGCATCATCGTAGTCAGGCTCCTCAGTCAGGTGGTACATGTAGAATTCGCTTATAGGGAAATCTCGGTCCTCCAGGAAATTCGCTCGCATTCGTGCTGTTGCCCATAATGGGCGAGCTCTAGGCTTGTCTCCTTCGTGTTGTGTGCGTTCTCGGGCACCAGTCAAGAGAACAATCAATCCCAGAATCACAAAGAGCCCTCCCAGAGCAAACCTGTCATCACCTGTTGTCCAGTTCATTATCCAAAACAGGAAGGTGATGGAGCCTCCAGCGACGAGTAAGCAGCCCACCAGTAAACACATACGGGCCATCCATACCTTGCCCATTATACGCGCGGGGATTGGTAATTCAGTCTATACGCCGTTCACAGAGCAGTCTGAAACATCACATACACAAAACAGAGGTACCAAACAAACACACACGCACACACGCACATACAAATACACAAACACATATTTATCATTGTGAAATCCTTTTGCTGATCAAAAATCCCTCCATTCCATTTTTCTCTATAGAATGTATCCAAATAGTGACAGAGAATTAGCCGTTTGAAAGAACACTTCCCTTTGCTTACATGGCTCACTCGTTTACACCCCAGAAAACTCTCTTGAACGTGTTGATATACAGTACATGTAACTCGAAACAGCGTGGAAACTCACTGAAAAACAGTAGAGAAAACAACTGCGTTATCTTGGATTCACTCCCAAAACGTCAATCCATCTTCCTCACGTCAGAAAATCCTTGCGCGCACTTCAATGTCGCTGCTACATCGGAAATACAAACATGGCTATACACAAAACAGAGAGGTTCCAGGCTGTCCAAGAGAGTGCTCAATACCGAGTGGTAGAGCTGGTTCAAACAATAGGAGGACAGAGAAAGTGTTGTTACTCCGAGTTTCACGCACTAAGCGATCATCAGAAAACAGTAATGAGAAATCTGGATCAGTATTGGCCATGTACACGTACATGCATTTGGCATGCAGAGGTTTATTTCATTTCGGCCACTATGGCTGCTGGACTGTATAATGTATAATCGTCTGTGGGTGGGGAAGGGCAGGGGGGGGGGGGCAGGCTGAGGTACATGTGGAATATGTTGCAATGCTGGATTGTAAGGTTTGCCTATCGGCACCATCAGTACAGCTCGTCCGGAGATCGCCCATCGGCACTGGAAGTACAACTCGCTCGACTCGACTATCCTAACCTAAGTGACGATATCCCATGATGGGCCATGAACTGCGTCACAGGTTTTTGGTTCACACATGTGCGGCCGCGCGTTTCACGTCTCCCTGAAGTCAATAAACCATCACCGAGTTAGAGTAATCCAGTCAGGGAGTAACGAAGTGTTCGCCAGGATGTGAGCCAAGGGAATCCGTCAGCGTCTCAAAAAAAAGGTTGTACATGCAGCACGTTCCTGGACACACACCTCAGACCTGCCCATCGCGGAAGCAATGATAGCGAACAGCTATGTTAGACATAGCAACTTGTGCTTGGATTGCACTATTCAACAGCTTGGACACACACACACACCTTTTGACCTTGTGACGTACATGTACATCGCCAGAGTCGATGATAGTGATGCTACAGCAGAGGCAAAAGCAGCTAGTGCTGGGATTGCACCGTTCAGAAAAGCTTGCAAGAATGAAGAAGTTACACACACACATACACACATTACTTACAACTCGCAGCCGCGCCAGTTTGAGCAAACATTCGCACCGTGTTACGAGCCGCCGCTACTTCTTCCCCAGTTGCAGTCTCTGGGCGCGGCGCACACTGCTCGTGAATTGAATGGTGCACTCAACGCATCGTTTTGTGTGTCCTGCACACCTTCTGACAGCAAAAGCTAGGAGACCAGTTACTATACCTACACACCACAGCGACCAAAATCACAACACTAGAAGCCTGCAAGCAAGGACATTTTTTAGTGAGCGCAAGACACGCCACGAAAGACAGTGCACCCTTCAGGTACGGCAAGTATTACACTAGTGGCAGTGCACACTGAGTACATGATTCTGCAAATGTTATTCCCGGGTAGCATGCGGCGATGCACACTATAAATTCTCGTTGTGCGATCACCAGTGCATGTACCGACGTACTGCTGTACTAGCATGTCTAAATTCTGCGGTGGGGGCGGAGAGTCTAAGTCGCGCATGCTATTCCTTGTCACTTGCTGCGGCGCTAGTAGTAGTAGTAGTCATCTTCAGCGCCAATGGCAATACATGTAGTAGTAGTAGGTGTTGTGAATAAAACCGTTCTCAAGCAGTAGCCTTCCCATCGAGACTCAGCCTAGGGCAATCTTGAAAGGAACTGCACGACGCCCGCGCTCGGGTTTGCATGCCAACGCCTAGTGACTCTCAGAAACGCACTCAACCAACACGTCTCTATCTTATGGCGCCAGTACGTCAGCACTACAGTATAGTCTACACTGACAGGGCGCGTGACATGACTTGTCACGTACTGGTTCCTGCATGCTTGGCCAATAAAAATAATTGGGTGGTTATAATTCTTTAGAGTCTGTACAATCATGTCATCATTAATGACATTTTGTTGCCATCTTCAATAGGTCCGCCAAATACAGTATGTAGTAATAGGTTTTTCATTTGACCCGACGAGACCACACGACGCTTGCAGATCACAGCACGAACAGTTCACCAGCCACACTCCACGAAAGCAAGTAGTAGTACTCCTGGCAACTAAACGGGTGTTTGGTATACAATGTGCTACAACAGTACAGTCAACTTCGCCAATAACGACTGCGGATATAACGACAATTTGCGAATAACCACAGAATTTCCATGCCCAGAGCAAAGTCCCATCCCACTGTAATCCACAAAATGAGACTTCGGGTATAACGACACTTCGCGAATAAGGACACCTTTTTGATGCCCCGCCGAGTGTCGTTATAAGCGAAGTTGACTTTACTACTAGTAGTACTGCTCAATGAAACCCAGTCTCATCACCCAAGACCAAGTACTCGCGGGTGTTGCGCAGCTCTGGACATGCGAAGTGCGAACACTGGTCTAAACCGTTGCAGTCAATCAGTGGCGCAAGCGCTTGCGCTGATTGCTTCGTCTCAACTGCATGCATACAAAGCAACACAATGCTGATTTCATTTTGAGAACTCATAGTATGAGTCCTAATGGTGAGGCCGACAATGCGACTCGCTGTCACCCGTGTTATTCATCATCTACCTCGAGACTGCACTGCGCGATGTTTTCTCCCGCAGCCCACATCGACCTAATCTGGACATCACCCTCAATCTGCCGCTGTCCCTAGGTTATGCCGATGATGTGAACTTCGTCAGCACCAGTTCTGAGTACCTGGACTCGATCCTTCCTATTGTTGGCGACTGCCTCGTTGACTGGGACCTGAAAGTTAACCAAGCCAAAACAGAACGCAGTACTGTACAGAGGAAGAAGGATCGAGTGGAGGAGGAGTGGAGGCGAAAACGCAAGCATGGATCCCTTATCGCAGACAAAGAGGATGTCGGGCGACAAATCCAGATTGTTTCGGGCACATTTAAGTTAACAAGATGTGGCCAGTGTGGTCACGCGGACATCTGCTCTCCGAAAAGCTACGGATGAGGCTCTATGAAGCCTTCATCAAGCCTCTGCTGATGTACAACGCAGGCACATGGAGCCTCTCAGTATCTCAGCTCAGTCTCTCAGCTGTGTACTTTTGACTCGACATATCAGAGACAACTGAGGGTCGCTGTGGGTATCCGCTACCCACAGATAATCAGCAACGATGACCTCCACCACAGACAAGAGACACAGCCAGGAACTGTCCTGATAAAAGCTGCTCGGATGCGACTACTCGGTCACATATGCAGACTGTACAAGGAGTCCCCAGCACAAATGGCTACGACATCCTACTTCCAGCAAACAAAGGACGAGAAAAAAATTCGGTGGCCGACCGCTTCCACACTCCCAACAACACTCCGAACAACACTGAGAACAGACCTTGCATCAAAGGGAATGACGCTACAGACGGATAAAGATCTATGACATATCAGGGACCTGGCACAGGACAGAGCAGTGTGGCGGCCGCTTTTCCGCACCTGAGCCTGCACAGGAATGCCAGGATGTGCCCAAACGGAACATGACATGATGTATGAAGTGAATTTAATGGACAACGTGATATATTTCTTCCATATATCCTTTGCCTCCTGTTTCTGTTTTCCTTCCTTCGACCCCGCTGCTCTGTGCCCCTTAAAACTCGCTTTCTCTTGTCCTTACTGTCTTCTGACTTGTTGAGCGACCTGAACGAATGCTAGGGGTGGATGTGTATTATGTCGATTTGTTGATTTTTGTAGTACCACACCCTGATGGAAACGCGGAGGGGCAAATAATAATAATACGAATAAGAATAATAGGATAATATGGTGAGCAAAGGAAAAAAATTGTAACACGGAAATTGTGGGCACAAGGTATGCGATCGAGTATACAAACTAAACTACATTTTGAAAAGTCAGACGTGCACAATCTAGCACAAAACTGACAAGTGGTACTGAGTCATTCAACGGAATGAAAGTCAGCTTGAGCACTGCTCGATAGCGCTAACCAACGGCCTTCCAATTACTTGGAAGGTTCTTGGATATTAGTGCTTATTCCAAAGAGCGAAAGGCGAGCGTCATCGAGCCGAGCGCAAGCTACATTCCAAGGCTTCATGGAATGCTTGATGCCGGTAGATTGTGCTAGAGTGTGCTAGATTTGCACGCTTGACTGTTTTTATTATTATTATTATTATTATTATTGACTGGTTTGAGGGAAAGAGACAAACGGGAAAAGTCTGAAGAAAAAATTGACCGCCACCACCAGGACTCGAACCAGGGACCCTCGCTTGTTATTATTAGACACAATCTCATAGCATGTGACAAGCATAGCTAAAGCAGGGACAGAATCCCCTGAGACAAGGGCGCTGAGCCAGCCACGGCAATAGTAAGCTAGGAAAACAAAGCAAATATGAATTAAAGCAGAAAATGAATGGAAAATTACAAAGAAAAACGATTAACGGGAGTGAGCACTATCAAAATTCGTGCATCACCCAGGTATTCGAGAATGTTCTTCGATGATAATTAGAATCTGGATTACTTGGTGGACTCGATCTCATAAATTCTGTCCTCAATTATTTCCATCTTATAAATGCTGATGTCATTCGCATAATCTAGCCGTATTCACGTTACTGGACTTAGGTTTGTCGTACACCGATATGCCCCTAGGGACCGGCGGATTCTGCTCCCAAAGGTGGCAGATTCTGCTCGAAAAGCAGTGAAATTGGCAGAACCATACAAACCTTATGGCGGGCAATTCGTCGAATTCGAATACCGAATTCTGCTAATTTTTCTGCCGGCAGAATCCGCCGGACCCGATATGCCCCAGGTACAACAATAACCGTGTTTTCCCGGTCCAGTGACGCTAGAGACTCAGAGTCACACAAACTTGCGTTCCATAGTTTAGCAGTACACGGGATCACTGGATAGATTTCTTCTCCAGTGTATGATTTATTGCATTTATTCAAAACCATTGTGTTAATTTGCTGGTAAAAGAGGCCTGTAAACAAATAATTTTATAGAGTCTTGCCATACAGTGAATCTTGAGTACAGTTGCGCTCACTGAAATCCGACCCAAAGTGCAAAGCTGTCGCCCTGGACCAGTTCCGATTACATCTTTGTGGTTGTACATGTGTACGTCCAGCCGCATTCATTCCACTTCCAGGGCGTCAAGGGCTGTGAAAGTTGAGGGTGCACATTGGGTCGGATTTCAGTGAGCGCAAATGTACATCTACATGTACATGCATCACATGCACATACCGTGCATACGGTAACCGGTAGTACAGTGCTTTTAACTGAAAGCCGACCCCTCTGGGTGGCGCGGCGCGCCGCCCAGGGGGGTCGGATTTCAGTTTCAAGCACTGTAGTACCTCCAGGCTGCACGCGCCATAAACAATCCAAACGCTATAGCCGATGCATTGCACATCCAAGGTGGTAAAATGATCTTTCCATGTCACTACAACCTACTGGCCTGGTTATGCTAACAGAGAGTGCAGAAACGTACAATCGTCACTTGGTGTGATTGTGAGGTAAAACGACTGTGCCTCTGTAGCTCAAGTATGTAGAGGGGACGGTTTCAAAATAGAAGATAGGTTGCAAACCGGAACGGGCTCAATATTCACTTTCTTTCTTGGTATTTTGATTAGAAAGCAGGTGTCACAGTGAAACTACGAGGTGTTTTACTCAGAGCCAACATTTCATGGCTCTGCGATGACCAGAAGCGCCATACAAAGCAGGTGAGTTTTGACGCGTTGCTTCGTACCGGGACTGGAGTTTTACGCCTGTCGAAAAATCAACTTCTTGTCGAAGGTAAACAGCGGCCGGATCGCCTCTCGCCGATGAATCACCTTACATCAATGAGAACTAATGGAAGCATACACGAGGCTTTTTGTTACTCTGTTCTGTTCGTCGCGGAGCGATAGCAATTACCTAATTTCAGAACCCAGAGTGAACTTGACGTGCAATCCAAAACCTTTCCGGTTTGGAGCCACCTCTGTGAGACCAAATTTTGAGGGCAACATGAAGGCAACCGGCCAACACAAAAGAGTGGCTCAGTTCGATGGAATCGGGCTCGGAGCAAACTTCAACACGCCAGCTTTCTTCCACAAACATATTTCGAGCGAACAATCCGTGCTTGTGATCGGGGTTTGGCAGTGCACAATTTTGCTGTCAAACCGTTCCTATTTCAAACCGTTCCCTTTAATTTATAATTACATGTATCACTCCGAAAGTAAACCATTGTGTCCACAGGGTTAAATATGCGATTTAACGGGTATGGCGTGTAGCTTAGATTTTAACTCCGTAGTCTCAAAACGTGGCCAAATACTCCCAACTGAGAAATGACGAGACACAACTTAAAACTCTGATACCCTGCACCAGTAGCTGCTAGCCGATCACAGATATACAGGTATCACAGATTTGTCGTCTATTTTCTTCGGTTTACCCCTACCAGTGCTGCCAACATTCCATATTTTCCGTGTTTGCACGGAAATTCACTCCTTTGTCCGCGGTACGAAAATTGACCGAAATTTCACGGAAAACTGAGAAGTAGGGATTAGCTGACTACGAACTAGTTTTTATACATGTATATGTACATGTACATGACTGTACATAATTGATTGCAGAGCACATAAAACTGTGACGAAGACCTACTACTATCACGCTAAAAACAGAATTCCTGACTGCAACCTCCGGCCTCAGACAGTGAAAAAGTCTCAAGCTTTCAAGCGCTGTGTACGTGTGTTTCACACCATTCCTGGTTGTCCTACACTAGGCTACAGTTCGCGTGACGCACTACTTCTTGGGGCCAAGACTATGGACGACTTACTGAGCACCCGATACAGAACCCCAATGACTACAAATGTCGCAAAAATATATTATAAATCATGGAAGAAAAAAATGGTAGCACGGAAAACCACTGGAAAATACGGGAAATCAGCAGTCCGAGTGCGAAAATCAGACCGAGCAGGTTGGAAGCACTGACCAACATGTATTTGAGAAACGCATGGTTTGGTTTTTATTACTTTGTTGCCTTGACAGTGCAAAGTACTTGAAGTGCAAATATCAAGAGGTACGAACGAAAAAAGAACAGTAAACAGAGCGTGATTTGTATATCAAGGACAGTAAAAAACTACGTGAGCGGAAGGATGGAATTCTAGCATGCTCTGGACGGTTATTCCATCCCGAATGGGCAGGATAAGCGCAAGCTCCCACCTACGAAGCATTACGCGGAATTCTTCAAGAGTGGGCGAAGACTACACCTCCATTTCGGGAGATTAATAAAAAGGCGTTTAAATCCAATTCCATATGTACGCTAACCCGCTACAATAATATAATCAGCACGGTATCTGTGAACCCTTGCTGCTGATCTTAGCAAATCATTAATTTTAATGTGCCGAAATTCCCAGCTCCGTCTTAATTCGCGCCGCAAATCCAGAGAATAAAAAGCATACTGGAAAGCAGAGGGCACATACTCCAAGAAACTTGTGTTGTAGTTACATGTATAGTCGTTCAAGCGTTTTGGCCGATAAGTAAGCGTTTAGTATGTACTTCAGGTACGTTTGGGGAGATGCTGGCGTTCCAATTCTTGTCCCTCTGAGAGGACTGCTATGGCTGTGCTCAAAGTGTCTCCCTCGGATTGTAACGGTAAGCCAGTGAGTAGTGTATTTGTGAAAAGTAGGCTTGTCTCTGACCACCAGCCATTTCCACCGGCACTGGACTGTGACGTCACACTTTACGTGACTTACGTTCCTTGTAGTACAGTAGAACTCTGGCAAGACTCATCGGCAGCAGGAATGGGCACCTGTATCCTAGGTAATATTACTTCTGATCATAATAATGATACTTCAGCATGCAGCAACAAGCTCGTCCTCCGGACAATATCCGCAGTGTGCTGGAGTAGTATTTTAGTAGCGAACGTACATATCGATAAGGGTGAGAGAGTTGATAAAGGAGAAGAGTTTGAAACAAGTTTGACTCTCGCAACTAGTACTCCAATCAGAAACACTCGTATGTGGCCGCGACTACTCTTCAACTATGTGCGTTTTACTGTTGTCTGGTCTGCCAAGTATAATGTACTTGTTGCATTTTGGTCTACATGTACATGTGTGCAGCAATGGGTCGACTTCGCCGTACTTTGGACAAGCCTCACCTGTTACCTATTCGTGGAAATGTTTCTGCACCAGTTTGTAGTGGACATGGTCCTGGGAAGCATCTGGCATTGGCTGGGGCCCACACTGTTCGAAATTCTCTGCCTACCGGTAAGGCTCATAATGATCTGGATTGAGATGATTTCCGTGATAATGTTAGATAAATGTGAGCATGTAGTAGACCGTAAGAACGTTTTGACAAATTTGCAACGGAGAAAACATTGGACACAGCAAGCGTAGCGAGCACTCTTGAAACCACTTCGAAGACTGGCGACTTTGCTCACTGTTTCGGTCTATACCATACCACCTACAAAGCACAAACACATACCCCTCTCACAGGCAAACCACCACCATCCCATTCCGCCTTTCCAGATATTCTGGCCCCCAAAAACCTATCATTTCATACGCCACTCAGTCCTATTTTAACTTGGTGCGCTAGGCACAATAATAATGTAATATGTAAAGGAAACGTTGAACTCGGATGGTGAGCATATGTGAAACTGGAAATAGGAGTTGGACATTTGGCACGAGTTTTGACTGACTGTCCACCAACGTAACCAGATCATAATGCAGTCAGCGCGTGCGACATGAAGTAAGGAGTACTGAAACATTCAACTTCCTGACACCCAACTCTTACACTTCTACGAGGCGTAAACCAACAACCGTTCAACTTGGAACGGTCCAAGAGAGGACGGAAAGCGCCACTAAGAAGACCACAAGCATGATTTTGTTACACTGGTGGACAGTTAGTCTTAAAAAATTAAAAAAATTCACGGTTCGCGTGAGACTCGGCCAAAGGCCCAGTTTTCCGCATCCGCAGGAGCGCCACCACCCTCTTGGATCAAGGCGCAGATGCAGCTCCTAAGCGGTGGGAGGTGAGTAGATCAGACCCACCACAAAGTGGTCAAAGACCGAAATCCCATTCACTGCATCCTTGTTTCCCTCGTGCCAGGCCACGAGTTCCCAATCAACTGTGGGTCGCAGCACGGCTGGAAAAAATCCTTCCGCTTCCAAGCAGGACTTAAACCTGGTACCCTCTGTTTCTCAATCATGGTCTTAGACCATCCCACTATGCCTGGCTGCCATCTCGTCAGTTAGTCTTAACTCATAATATTTTGTCCCTCTCCTTTCTAAATAAGTGATCAGCTAGACTACAACTCTGTAGAACTGTAGAAACAAAGGAAACGGTGGGGTACAAGTTATGCGTTATAGTGCACCAACTACACCAGGGTTTAAGCAGTTAGACGTGCGCAAGGTAGCACCAGACTGACAAGGAGTACTGGGACATTCAACAGCAAGGAAGTGAGCTTGAACACTGCTCGATAGTTCTAACCAACGGCCTTCCACCTTAAAAGGTACAAGGGATATTAGTTATAATTCAATTTATTATTTTCCTTGCCTCACCATCTGACTACTTACAGAACTGTACAATTTTAGAAATAGAAATTAGGACGAGGAAAATGTGGAAGGCCTCATGTGAGCACTCGTAGTACTCATTTATATACCGGTGGAGATCCAAGAGTAAATCTAAAAAGTAAACTAAATTAAATTTTATGACGAAGTAAGGAAAAGGACAAAATGTTTTTATGATAAACTGTCCACCAACGTAACCAAATCTTATACAGTCAGCAAGTGCGACAAAATGGCACAAACTGACGTCTTCGCTTAGCTTCCCCTTCTATGTTTATTACATAATTTTGAGCCTCCCAAGTTGGGTGGTCTGTTGCTTTGCGTCGTCGACTTGTAGTAACGCCGGTCTGTCCAATAGTCTTACTAGTTTCGTCATCAGCCAGTAACTTTCGGCATTCTTTGTTGCCGTGATGCGTAGCTCATGCTCTTCTTCGTTGCGCTTTCCTTCCCCTCTTGGACCTTTCCGAACCTGAGCCTTCCAAGTAGGAAGGTTTTTGGTTTGCACCTTGGAGAAGTGTTGGAGCAAGGTGTTAGGTCGCCGAATGTCTCAGTACTCCTTGTAAATTTTGTGCAATTTTGTCGCACTTGATGACTGTATAAGATCTGGTTACGTTGGTGGACAGTTTGTCATAACTCGTAACATTTTTTTCCTTTTCCTTTCTTCATCATAACTATATTGGCTCACCATCCGAGTTTAAACTAAATTTGTTTTTCCTTGGTTCTTTCCCTTATATACACCTAAGCACCTTAGAAAACCCCGTGAGTGTATAGTAAGCACTCAATCAAGGGCGCCTGATGTACAAATTCCTGTGTCGTGTTGCGTGCTGCAGTTCCTGGTGATCTATCTTGCCGCGAACATCCTATGGATGTTTCTGCGCTCCACGCTCTGGGTTCTATGCCTACTAGTGGAAATGTTCCGGAGTCGGCTAGGGCCTCGGCAAGTCTTCAACCAACGACTGTTTGAACTGGGCGAGTTTCTACGCAGTAAGCCATTACTGAAGGTAAGCCTGCGCAGCAGAGAGTCGACTTTACGACCTTGCGATCACAATAGGAGAGCAAGTCAAGAGACATTCGTACTTTCGTTTTGTGTTAAATGGAACCTAGTCATCGTCATGCCGAAAATCTTACCTGCAACCTTTGCAAGGACGCAGCAGCGTTGTGATTTTTATACATGTAACATGAGCGCTAGAAACAAGACGAGGGTTGTGACTCAGCATCCAAGAAGTAGGTCACAAGAAAGTTCTCAACCAGCAAGCATGGCACAGAGTTCTAGAAACAAAGCAAGTCAGAATCTGTTGTACCGAAGTAGTACAATTACTACACTGTAGTTGTGTATATTGCGTTCTTGTCTCTGTCTCTCTGTATACGTACTGTAAAACCGGAAAGGCTAACGACCAAAAAGTTTAACGTTTTTCTCGTATTTTTGGCATGACTACGTGTAGAGAGTTTAATGATGGCTATCTGCCGACCCATCTGTATGCGCATCTTTACACAGACGAGAAATGATTGCTCGCGAAATATTTTCAGTTGCAAATATGGCATCAGGTGTGTTCTTAATTGTCGCTTCTTTTCCTGACTTCTTCAGTCAGTTTTGAGTCCCAACAGTGTCCCTGCCCTCCCACCCTTCATTTCTGTGCATATTAACAATGCTTTGTATCACTGTTTGCCGTGATGTGCTTGCCATGCCTACATGATGCCGTATCGCCATTGGGGGTATACACCCGTTTTTTCCCTCACAAATGCGTCCGCGCGTTTCCCGGCTTGCGCGGTCCAGGAAAATTAATCTGACAGTCCCAAGTGGTTCTGCATCATGGCCCATTTCTGCTATCCACTGGCACGCCTATTCTATCAGAGACACTCTGTTCTCAGTCCTTGCTTCCGTACCTCACTCGTTATCCGGTTCACAACTGGCTGGTGCCAACTACCCTTCACTTTGTGTGTTGTCGCTATTGCTGTCTATGTCTCTGTGTATGCCAGTATATGTGGAACGAGAAATCTAGCGATAACGGTTTTTCAAATAACGAAAAATACTTGGTCGTTAAAACGTTAGACTTTGTGACTCGTTAGACTTTCCGGTTTCACAGTAGGACTGTGTGTACGTAGGGTTTTCTTACGATGCACCACGAACCTCGAGAACAGAATACCGCATGTAAGAGCTGGCTGCAGGCGCAACTGTAGTGGTGAAACTGGAGCATCTCCGCCGATCTGAGGTCTCGGCTTCAGTGACACTTCAGTGCACCAAACAGTGGGGAGGAGTGGGCACAGGGGGCGGGGAGAGGGGGGGGGGAGAATACATAGAGGGTGAAAATGGGAAGATAAGTATAGGTGATAGAGTAAAAGGGGAGCCAGGGTTCAATCGGAGAGGGTGTTCAGGGAGGGTTCAGAGGGCATCTGTGGCTGAGTGCCAGTCTCGAAAGCGGAGAGACCTGTAGGCGCCTTCCTTGATGCCTGCATTTCCTTCTGCGTGGGAAGGTTGCGTAGCAGAGCAGATGGGAGACGGTTCCAGTCTTGGATCGTGGCATGTGGGTAGGGGAATGATCGGAGAGAACTATTACGGGCTCCGGCGAGCAGTGTTGGTGCTAGTTGATGCTGGTGCTGCTCCTCTTGCTGGTGGCGAGTGAAGCGCCGGTCCTGGTTAGCAACTGCCCTCGGCGGTGTCATGATGGTCAAGATTGCGGGCCATCAATCAAATGCAGCTTGTAAAGGCATGTGAGTGCTACGACTTAACGCCGACCAGTGAGGCTTAGGAGATATGACCCTGGGACGATGGGCTTCAGGGCTCTGTGCTGTACCTGGTACTGCTTAGGTGTGAACGTAGTGTGTATGTTTGTGTGGGCATGCGTGTTCATGTATTTTCTTGCATGTTTGTACGTGCGTGCATGCGCATGTGTGAACTTGTGTATGGGCATGTGTGCTTGCTCAGTGGTGCGAGGTTATAATACTGGCTATAGTGCGTTACACGCCGTTCATGTTGAAGACAGCCTTGCGTCAGTCGACAGTCCACAATTTCATGTATCTGCGGCATTCGTTGAGATTGTTTCTCTACCAAGCGCTTGGCAGCTGGTACCCGTTCGAACCGCCTGGGGAGGATGGAACGTTAAGTGTAAGTGTTCACGCTTGCTTTTCTGCCAAACTTTCTAGTATGTCTGCATCTTTGCAGAAAAGTCTACATGGCCTGTGGGCATTGGCGTAATCTTGTCAGGCTTTTCAGGTCGGGATATTGTATTATGTATAATGCAGTTTGAATTGAAAATCTCGCTGGTATTCTGTTCCTATGTTAAGGATTGCAGAACGTTAATGATACCAAAATGAGGATAAGAACACAAAACAGTGAAACCTTGCTAATAAGAACACTGATAAGACGAACTTTTGCTTTAGAAGAACTAGTACTAGTATTCATAACTACATGTATGAAGTTGATTGTTCCAACTAGGAACACACGCTTCTTGCCGAACTTGACACTTGATTGACTCACGACTGCCATCCGGAGCAGATGAGGAGCACGTCGCACCGTCCACTCGGCAAACATGCAAGAAAGCACCACTTCCTGCTCAATACACAGTGTTTCGTGGAATTCACACCTCATCAGTTGAGATGGAGTAGGCTGAGGAAGATTGTGCCTGAAAAGCACCACTTCTATACATGTACTCCTCTCCAGGCCAAACAATCACCAGGGATACAAGCTTACAGATGACCTTTGTTTCCAGCTCGACAAACTCGCTCATGGAGTTGTGCTAAATAGATGTTGAGAGCCGGTATAGCTATTCCCAACGCTGTCACCTCCAACAACTAGTCGCACGTCCGCGTGAGGGACAACAATACGAACTTAGAAGTTGCGACTTCTGCGGTAATAGTCATGAAGTTGATTGTTCCAACTAGGAACACACGCGTCTTGCCGAACTTGACATTTGATTGACTCACGACTGCCATCCGGAGCACACGAGGAGCACGTCGTACCTCTGACTCACGCTGTACCTGGGGATTCACGAGGTGTTTGTCGCGCTGGAAACAAAGCGCCTTTGAAAGTTTGTATCCCTGGTGATGGCTTGGCCCGCAGAACAGTATATACACTTTGCTTTGTGAGTATATAAACCAATACTGATCCAGATTTCCAATTACTCTTTTCTGATGATCGCTTAGTGCGTGAAACTCTGAGTAAAAACACTTCCTCTGTCCTCCTATTGTTTGAGCAGTATATATGTATTACTTTTCAAGCAAATTCTTCCTCAGCCTACTCAAGCTCAACTGATTAGGAGTGAATTCCCCGATACACTGTATATTGAGCAGGAAGTGGTGTTTTCCTGCAAGTTTTCCGAGTGGAAGGTGCGACGTGCTCCTCGTGTGCTCCGGTTGGCAGTCGTGAGTCAGTCAAGCGTCAAGTTTGGCAAGAAGCGTGTGTTCCTAGTTGGAACAATCAACTTCATGACTATTATCGCTAAAGTCGTAATTTCTAAGTTCTTAGTTTTCATAACTGTATGGGATAGATTACAGTGTATTCACCGGGTATAACATAATATGGATATGAAGAACTCCCGTTATAACGACCAAATATCATCGGTCCCTTCTTGTCCTAACAGTTCACAGAAACCCAGTTCACAGAACGACAGTTCTCCGGAATGACATTAATTTCACAGACTATCTTTTTGACAGACAGTCCATTTAACAGGATACCCAATTCACAGAAAGACAGTTCACAGAGCACTGTTTTCATCCACAGCCCATTACACCGAATTTGATCAGGCATGCACTCAAAAATGCATTGTTTCGAAAGAAAGCAAAATATGAAGAATATGAGAGTATGCACGTGTGACATGGTCATATACTATACACAACATTTAACGCCAAATTATGGGCTACTCCACGGAAGAAGAGTCTCTTGGTGGTCGCTGCTCGACGGACTGTAGCAGAGCCCTCAACCGTTGATCACATTGCTGATGATGCCCAGATACTTAGCACAAGATGATTGTTCTACCACGGTGCCACAGAACCCCAACTGACGGGATGCCTGCACAGTGGGCTTCCGCAGAACAAGAAACTGAGTCTTTGCCGGGTCCAATTTGAGTTCCCTGGAGTGCAGAAACTCGCTGACTGAGTGAAAGTCTTTCTAAGGCTTTTCAATTGCCTGCAACATCGACATTTGTATCATCGGCATAGAGTTGGCTGGTGGAGAAAGCCAAGCATGTTGGAAGAGAGCGTGCATGTAGGGCCAGGCGCGTGTGCGTTGTCACCTCTGGCGTGGATATTATTGTTGGTCACGCTGAAACTTACCCGTCCTGCCGTTGATAACCCTTTCCCAAAGGTGCTCTTTCATTTCGCACTTAGGCCGTTATCACACTGCGTTTGTTTGAGTCGCGTTTGCGTCTGCGTTTGCGTTTGAGACTGGAAAACGCAGGACGTGATATCATACTATACTTGTGATTTTCAGCGTTTGCGTCAAAATCTGTGCTCACGAAAAAATACAAAATGTGGGGAATCGATGTCCAGGTGGTCGTGGATGTTGAATTAATTATTTTATCAAAAAAGTATTTTTTCTAGACCAAAGAGTGGTATATTTGATAAAATTTAAGAATGATAGAAATATTTACGATACTTCTCCAGACGTTTCGTTGTTCTGAACAACATCGCCAGTGGATAAAGAATGGAGGGCTTTGGGTGGTGGCACGGGTTAATAGGGAGTGATGGTGGTGAGATGAAGTGTGAAGGTGAAGGTGGGAAATACATGTATCACACACACACACACACACACACACACACACACACACACACACACACACACACACACACACACACACACACACACACACACACACACACACACACCTTGCCAATTCTACCCACCACATACACCAACACCTATTGCTGATCCACACCCTACCTAGACTCTCTCCCACATTTATCAACCCAACACTTCCATTGCGCCACTCCACCTTCTACGCACACCAACACCTTCTACCAACCTACACTTCTACCCGAAGGGTGTACGCCTGCCCACCTGTATCGACCCGCACCTAACCTTCACCATTAACTTAGGTACATGTATTTCCCACCTTCACCTTTTCGAAAACCCAGTTCACAGACTGACTTATTCACAGATAACCCATTTCGCCGAGAGTGGACAAACGTGGGAAAATGCGGCTCGATCCTCGGCTAGCCCTTTCCCAAAGGTGCTCGCCCTTTTTTCGCCCTTTTGGCCCTTTTTGGAAAAGCCCGTTTCTTTCGCCCTTTATTGCGTTTTTTGGTGAATATCGCCCTTTTTGAGCTTTTTCAGCTGAAAAAGTGCTAAAATCTGCTTGCTCATGCATGCGATCACAGTTTCCGAGTGCTCAATGGGCCTTGGCACGCCGTTTTTTTGGTGGGGTCAATAAGTTGGTGAAGCTTGTACCGGGTGTACACAATGCTGTAAAAAAATGGTTTTTTTGGACTTAATTAACCCTTGATGTTCGCCCTAAAGAGGTTTCACTATGTCCCAGGTAGTTGCAGCAACGTCGGCTATACTTTTATATAGGGGCGAAAGTTGACACTGAGATCCCTAGTTCGAGTACTCTGATTTTCTCCGATCGAATATTCGAGTAATCGAGTATTCTTCATCACCTAAAAATTGCACACCGAGGGCCTTAAAATCACATGATCCAACCCTGATCGAAACAAGTAGCAGTCATTTTTCTCTGGTATATTGGTTGGTGGGTCATTTGGGCTCTCTCTACTCGTGAACATGTGTTCACCACACAGTCTGCACATCAATATCTGCCGACTGCTGCTCTGAAACTGCAGATATCTGTGGTAAATGCATGTGCCATGTATGAACGAGTACTCTGATTTAATCCGAGTACGATTATTTTTGAAAAAAACCGAGCGAGTACTCGAGTATTTGGTATAATTGTTTCAGCCCTACTTTTATAGGAAAGTGTCAAATCGCGACAAGCTACATATCTTCCCTCAAACCAGTGAATAAAAATTATTTGAATGAATATTATCAAGAGTACATAAACCAGAGTGTAAATTCACCAGGCTATCCGTATCAAAAAATCCGAAATCAGGATAAACTCAGTGACCTGCACCACCGTGACTGGTTACGCAACTTTTCACCGTACCGTCAGAAATGACGTACTGCACGAATTACGCTTCCTGAGGAACCATCCCGAGTTGCACCCTCTGGTTTATGTACTCTTGATATTACCCGGAGGATGTACCCAGTGTGCTGACAGTGCTCGACACCGCTGAGGCGGAGCGTAATACAGAACAGAACAACAAAGACAATCAAGGCTTGTTTGCGGCAACTTGAAGTTTCATGTTCTCGCAATCATCATACATGGTATATAATTATACTGTCATGATCGGCACCCAACCTTAAGGGGGCACATCACCCAAAAATTTCATATGGCATTCAATTGACCGTAACTTTGGTGTTTCTCAGTGGATTTGAGTGAAATTTTGACCACACACTCCTGCCACTATGCTGGCCCTCAGGACATGATTTACAAGTTCTTGCGTCTCACTGACAGGCTTTCCAGGCCGGAAAAACTCAAATTTCCGGCATAGTGCTACGGTGTGCGAGCCACCCAGGAGCCAAACAAATGCATTTACATTTTTTTCACATTTTCGTGCCCATTCTGTCCGTGCGCGGGACCCAAACCTAAAACAAGTCCAGAAGCAGCCATGGGTGGTGGGGTAGGGCCCCTCAACGTGGCCCTGGAATCTGTCACAACGGAACGAGTGGGCGTTCTTTCACGGACTCCCACAGACCCAAGGCAATTTTTGAATTTTTTTAGGTTTGGCACGTGCTACGAGGTCGTACCTTTGATACAACATCCAGTGCTGGGACCTCCACAGCAAGCCATTTCCACAGCGCTGCAAACCAAATCCAGGATGCCCTCAGAAACCGGCAAAGACTGCCACTCACGTTTCACTACTGCCTAGTACTGAATCCTACCTGACTTCTTGACACGACTCAAACTTGCCAAAGTCACTAAATCAACGTCAACTACAATAATCAAGCCACATATCTGCAACGTCACGAGGGTGCTGGCAAAAGTCCTGCTGCACGGCGGCGGGCTTCGCCCGCCGCCGTGCAGCCCAATACGTGGTTTTTTAACGTGATTTTTTGGACTTTTTTGGACTTGGGGCAAAATTCTGCACACTTTCGCGTGTTTCCATAATACGACAAGTTGCGCACGGTCTGCTCACATTCAAATACAGTGCTGCCAACAAATGACAGCATGCAACAAAAAAATCTTTCCTTGCAAGGGCACATTTTCGGCCATAACTCTTGAACGGCTGGTCAGATAGGGACACAGTTTTCAGAGAATTTGCAGCTATTCATGCTCTTTCAACTGACGTAGCACTCAATATGAATTTACAAATTCGATTTTTCAGCGAATTTTTGGGTGATGTGCCCCCTTAATGTTGCCTGATGATTGCGAGAGCATGAAACTTGAAGTTGCAGAAAACAAGCCTTGATTGTCCTTGTTGTTCTGTTCTGTATTCTTGATATTATTGATTTCATTCCCTATTTATCGATTTACAGGAAAACCCGCATGACCGGATCTCGGATGAGAGCAATTACACGGAAATGATTGTGGGAGGCTATGTGACGTGCCTGTGTGGATTAGTGATCTGCTGCTGGGGTGGTGCTGCCATCTTTATCGGTCTGCTGGTAATGTCCAGTGGCTTAGCGACACTCTTCAGATCCTGGCGATTACTCAACGTTCACGTGACAATTCCCTCATCTTCGGAACATGAAGAATCCAAAGCGCGGCAGCAGGTTTCGGAAAGGAAATCGCTGGACCCACATGGACCTGATTTGAGTACGGACAGAGAATTCCCTCTCCCAGAATTTCGATGGCCAAAAAGGACGTCTCCATGGTCAACCCGGAGGTCTTTGCCCGTCCCTGACAGCCGCTCATGGGACGAACCAACAGTAAACCAACGATCTAACGAAAGACGGAAAAGTCTGCGTCAAAAGGTAAAGAAAGATAAAGAGGCCACGGCGAAGTGGAAAATGACTGCTGACCACAGATGGATATCTGTTGACAAGTAGAGCTCGATGGATGTTTCAAGCGGGAGAATAAGTCCGAATGTTTGAGTCTGTTAACACGGTCAGCAGCTTTTGTACCAATCATTGCCTTGCGCAGTTCAATGTATAATGATTGACTGTCGCACACATATACATACACATACACACACGCATGCATGCACACACTCACGCACGCACACACATAATGCACCAAGCAAACATCTGTTCGTACTACAACTAAATGTACAAGACTAGTATACGCCTTACCCTGTTGCATTTTGAAAACTCCCAACTTCCAGTGCACACCAGGGGGGGGGGGGCAATATTCCATTCTGTGTAAATAGTTGCGTCTTGCGATCGTGTCAATGTGAACGTGTCATAACTATTATGACCTGTCTTGACTCTTGGCCTCTGATCATGTTCCTCTTTCGTTTTATCCCGATGTCCTTTATGGTTGACAAAAAAAGCAACCTGACCAATAAAAAACCCAGACATGTTGGCGCATCGACTTTCTTTCTGTAACTAACTTTATACAGCAACACAATCCAACACTTATCCACTCTTCCTCCTTGTTTCTTGAATGTCAACATTCCGCAGTCTAGCTCACATGAACCTTTCGCCCCTCCCCATCCTCCTCACTAATTTGTGTGTGTATGTGTGTGTGTACGTGTGTGTGTGTGTATGTGTGTGTGTGTGTGTGTGTGTGTGTGTGTGTGTGTGTGTGTGTGTGTGTGTGTGTGTGTATGTGTGCGATAGTCAATCAGTATACATTGAACTACGCAAGCCAATGATTGGTACAAAAGCTGAGCAAGTGCCAGTGCAGTGGAAATTCCGGTAGTGGTTTCTTTCGTCTGTTGCCGAGATGAGAACTGTATTTTCCGATGATATGTAACTGAAATGTCTCGAGGTATGGCATTCCATCATCGCAGAAAAGTAGAGAAAGATGATTTCCGAAATCGAAAAGCCAGACCAAGCTGCCATCGTATTGAACGAGTACACTGTAGAAATTGGTGACTGACCCGATCACAACGAAGCAACTACATAAACAAAAACAAAATCGACATCGTCCAAAAAGGGCAAAGAATGCATATGCGGTGCGTGCGTGCAGGACCACAACTACAAAATTTTAAAAATGTGCAAATGTCGAGGTGACATCGACAACCGCCGATTTTCATGAATCAACACACCGGAATTTGAGAAATTGAACATACTTCAGGCCAGGTTGTACACAAATACGCTTCACGTCTACGATCATGTTGCCGCCAAGTCGTGGCACCCCCCTCCGGAGGTCGCGGTCACGATTTGAAACGTGGCCGCTACATTTTGGTCAAGTTCATGCCGTTGACCATGCAACTTGGCCGCATGGCCGCATGGACGCTGGTTTTGGTCGCAGTGTGAGCGCGCCCTTAGGCCCTTATCGCACTGCGTTCAAAAGTCGCGTTTGCGTCTGCGTTTTCTTCGGTTTTTGACGGTCGCCTAGGAAATGCCATCACGTGACGTTATCGCGAGCGCGTCGGTTTCCAGACGCGCAGACGCAGACGCAAACAAGGGGGTGGGAGGGGGGTAGTCAAAACCGAATCGCGTAAACGCAGATAGGACTTTCTTTATCGCAGCACTCCCTGCACTGTTTTTGAGTGTTTTCAAGTGATTCTCAAGTGTGTTTTCAAATCTTCATTTCCATCTAGTTGCTGAGGCCGGCGAGGGTACTTCTTCTACATGACATTGTACTGATTGATTGACTTTGGATTCGCGAGGCATGTAGCTGATGCGAGCTCGTGGCTGAGGTTGCGCTGACTAGTTGGCGACGGCTAGCCTAGCTGGACGATGTGCCTCAACACAGGCAACGCAACGGCTGCAGTCTTCCCATCGACTCCCATTCCCCCAGCACCACTGACAAAGGACATAGGAGCAGAAACAGAACACTTCTCGGTCTCAGGAAAATAATTAATAAAAAAAGAGTTGGTGGACAAGCCGTTGATTATCCACTCTCATTGTAATATCAAAAAAGTATTCTTTCTAGACCAAAGGGTGGTGGTATATTTGATAAAACTTAATAACGATAGAAATATTTACGATACTTCTCCAGACGTTTCGTTGTTCTGAACAACATCGTCAGTGGATAAAGAATGGAGGGCTTTGGCTGGTGGCACGGGTTAATAGGGAGTGATGGTGGTGAGATAAGGTGAGAAGGTGAAGGTGGGAAATACATGTATCACACACACACACACACACACACACACACACACACACACACACACACACACCCCTTGCCAATTCTACCCACCACATACACCAACACCTATTGCTGATCCACACCCTACCTAGACTCTCCCTTACATTTATCAACCCGACACTTCCATTACGCCACTCCACCATCTACGCACACCAACACCTTCTACCAACCTACACTTCTCCCCGAAGGGTGTACGCCTTCCCACCTGTATCGACCCGCACCTAACCTTCACCATTAACTTAGATACATGTATTTCCCACCTTCACCTTTTCACCTCATCTCACCACCATCACTCCCTATTAACCCGTGCCACCACCCAAAGCCCTCCATTCTTTATCCACTGGCGATGTTGTTCAGAACAACGAAACGTCTGGAGAAGTATCGTAAATATTTCTATCATTATTAAATTTTAGAATTGCGATCAACAGAACGAGCTGAACCGACATTTGACAAAGGCTTTTATTGTATTCAAAAAACGAGTGGATACGAATGCATCGAAGAACATGGAAGAAAGAAAAAAATTAATGTGATATGGAGAAAATGATGAACAAAAAATCGTACTTCGAACTAGTTTTCGCACAAGACTCCTCAGGAAGCTACGTTGTACTAATGAAAAACAATCCAGAAAGATACAAATAAAGAGAAATGGAGCGAGAAGAAACAACACCTATGAAAATGATAATCTTAACACTAAGGTAATAACAGGAAAAACTGCGAACTCGTTGTTTGAATACAATAAAAGCCTTTGTCAAATGTCGGTTCAGCTCGTTCTGTTGATCGCAATTCTAAAACTATTGTCGCCTCGACGCCTATTTACATATTTCATTATTAAATTTTATCAAGTATACCACTCTTTAGCAGGCAGGCATAGTGGGATGGTCTAAGACCATGATTGAGAAACAGAGGGTACCAGGTTCAAGTCCTGCTTGGAAGCGGAAGGATTTTTTCCAGCCGTGCTGCGACCCACAGTTAATTGGGAACTCGTGGCCTGGCACGAGGGAAACATGGATGCAGTGAATGGGATTTCGGTCTTTGACCACTTTGTGGTGGGTCTGATCTACTCACCTCCCACCGCTTAGGAGCTGCATCTGCGCCTTGATCCAAGAGGGTGGTGGCGTTCGTGCGGATGCGGAAAACTGGGCCTTCGGCCGAGTCTCACGCGAACCGTGAAAGATACCACTCTTTGGTCAAGAAAGAATACTTTTTTGATAAAATAATCAACATCCACGGCCACCTGGACATCGATTCCCACATTTTGTATTTTCCCGCGAGCACAGATTTTGACGCAAACGCTGAAAATCACAAGTATAGTATGATATCACGTCTTGCGTTTTCCAGTCTCAAACGCAAACGCAGACGCAAACGCGACTCAAACAAACGCAGTGTGCTAACAGCCTAAGTGCGAATTGAAAGAGCACCTTTGTGAAAGGGCTATCCTCGGCAGGACGGGTAAGTTTCAGCGTGACCAACAATAATATCCACGCCAGAGGTGACAACGTACACGTGCCTGGTTCTCCATGCACGCTCTCTTCCAACATGCTTGGCTTTCTCCACCAGCCAACTCTATGCCGATGATACAAATGTCTATGTTGCGGGCTATTGAAAAGCCTGAGAAAGACTTGCACTCAGTCAGCGAGTTTCTGCACTCCAGGGAACTCAAATTGAACCCGGCAAAGACTCAGTTTCTTGTTTTGCTGATGCCCACTGTGCAGGCATCCCGTCAGTTGGGGTTCTGCGGCACCGTGGTAGAACAATCATCTTGTGCTAATTATCTGGGCATCATCAGCAATGTGATCAACGGCTGAGGGCTCTGCTACAGTCCGTCGAGCAGCGACCACCAAGAGACTCTTCTTCCGTGTCACACGTGCATACTCTCATATTCTTCATATTTTGCTTTCTTTCGAAACAATGCATTTGAGTGCATGCCTGATCAAATTCGGTGAAATGGGCTGTCGATGAAAACAGTGCTCTGTGAACTGTCTTTCTGTGAATTGGGTATCCTGTTAAATGGACTGTCTGTCAAAAAGATAGTCTGTGAAAATTAATGTCATTCAGTGAACTGTCGTTCTGTGAACTGGGTTTCTGTGAACTGTCAGGACACCAAGGGGCCGATGATATTTGGTCGTTATAACGGGAGTTCTTCATATCCATATTATGTTATACCCAGTGAATACACTGTAATCTATCCCATACAGTTATGAATACTAAGAACTTAGAAGTTGCGACTAAAGCGATAATAGTCATGAAGTTGATTGTTCCAACTAGGAACACACGCTTCTTGCCAAACTTGACACTTGACTGACTCACGACTGCCAACCGGAGCACACGAGGAGCACGTCGCACCTTCCACTCGGAAAACATGCAGGAAAGCACCACTTCCTGCTCAATATACAGTGTATCGGGGAATTCACCCCTCATCAGTTGAGCTTGAGTAGGCTGATTTTGCCTGAAAAGTACTACTTATGTACTGCTCTCCAGGCCAAGCCATAACCAGGGATACAAACGTACAGAGGCGCTTTGTTTCCAGCGCGACAAACACCTCCTGAAGTCCTAGGTACAGCGTGAGTCAGAGGTGCGACGTGCTCCTCGTGTACTCCGGATGGCAGTCTTGAGTCAGTCCAGTGTCAAGTGCAGCAAGACGCGTGTGTTCCTAGTTGGAAAAATCAACTTCATGACTATTACCGCCGAAGTCACAACTTCTAAGTTCGTATTGTTGTCCTTCACGCGGCTAGTTGTTGGAGGTGACAGCGTTGGGAAAAGCTATACTGGCTCTCAATATCTGTTTAGCACAACTCCATGAGTGAGTTTGTCGAGCTGGGAACAAAGGTCATCTGTAAGTTTGTATCCCTGGTGATGGTTTGGCCTGGAGAGGAGTATATATGTTACACTCGGTATATGGTCACGTCTCTTATTATATGGTCACAGCTCTATATATGGTCACTATATCCAATGCGCTGAAAAAACTGAATAATGGAAGGTCCCCTGGCCCAGATGGAGTCTCAGGCGAACTCTTGAAATATGGAAGAGAAAACCTAGCACCTCACATTGCCTGTCTGTTCAACAGCATGTTTACAACTCACCAGCACCTTGACGTGGGATGCGGCACACTGGTACCGTTGCAGAAACCAGGAAAGACGGTTGGACCACCTGGATATCTGCGCCCTATTGTCCTCCTTACATCATTACGCAAAACGCTTTCCATCGTTACATTGCGAAGAATATCGTCGAAAGTCGGTGAGTACTTGTCTCCGACGCAGAGTGGTTTCAGAGCAGGCCGATCTATCTTGCAGTCACGGCGCCGAGCGCTGAACCTGTCACAACCAACGGGGTTAGTGCGTATCACTGCTGAACGTCATTATCCAGTGAAGCACCCTCTGTACTCAGTCCTTCATCACTGAATGACAGATGTTACTAGTAGTCTATCGCCACTTTTGCGGGCAAACTACAATAAGCCTATGGCCGTGAACCATGACGAACGCGCCTAAAATGGCAATCAAGGGTATAGAGGAGACGGTTTCAAATAGGAAGGGTTTGACAGAAAAATTGTGTGTACAAGTAGACCCAAATGAATCACCAGCGTGGATTGTTCATGTGAAAATTATTTTGATTGTGGAAGGAAACTGGCATGTTGAAGTTTGCTCTGAGACCAGAGTTAATCGAACTGAGGCACTCGTTTGTGTTGGCCCGTTGCCCCCAAGTTGCCCTCAAATATGGGTGTCACAGACATGGCTCCAAACCGGAAAGGTTTTGGAGTGCACGTCAAGTTCACTCTGGGTTCTGAAATTTGGTTACTACTATTGATCCGCAATGGCCACTACAGAGCTACAATAAGCCTTGTGTTTGCTTCCATTAGTTTTCATTGGTATACGGTGATTATTGGCAAGAGACGCGACCAACACCTCGTGAACACCAGATAGCAGCGTGAGTCAGTGTCGCTCCTGGACGGTGAGAACAGACGTAGCGGACCCTCGGTCCTTCACAAAGCTGTCACGTCCAAACCAGCTAGTCGCAAGCCCGTGGGCACAACAGTACGAAATAGTGGTTGCAATTTCGGCGATAACCAGTGAGGTATGGAAGCAAGGACTGAGAACAGAGTGTCTCAGATAGAATAGGCGTGCCATTGGATACCAGAAATAGGCCATGAATGCCCATGATACAGAACCACTTGGGACCGTCAGATTAATTTGTCTCGACCTTGCCAGCCGGGAAGAAACCCTCGCGCCGACGGACGCAGTTGTGAGGGAAAAAACCGGGTGTATATCCCCAATGACGATTAGGCATCATGTAGGCATGGCAAGCACATCACGGCAAAAAGTGATAAAAAATCAATGATAATATGCACAGAGATGAAGGGTGGCAGGGCAGGGACACTGGTGAGACTAAAAAACTGACTGGAGAAGTCAGGAAAAGAAGCGACCATAGAGAACACACCATATGCCATATTTGCAACTGAAAATATTACGCGAGAAATCATTTCTCGCCTATCTCGATGCGCTCGGCCGGCGAGAAATCCAACTTCTACCATGCTCTGGGCGATAATGCCATCCCGGGTGGACAGGATAAACGCAAGCTTCCACCTACAAAGCACGACGCGCAATTCTTCAACAGTGGGCGTAGAACACAGCACGATTTCGGGAGATTGATAAAGACCACGCGTTCAATTCCAATTTCATACAAACGCTAACCCGCTACAATAATGAAATCAGCACGGTATTTGTGAACCCTCACTGCTGATCTTAGCGATCCATTTATTGTGGTGAAAATCCCAGCTCCGTCTTAATTTACGCCGGAGATCCAGAAAATAAAAGTCATACTGGAAGGCAGAGGGCACAACTTCTGTTGCGGTTATGATCGTTCAAGCGTTTTGGCCGTTAGGTAAGCGTTAAGGATGGAATACGTCTTGGGAGATGCTGTCTTTCCAATTGTTTTCCCTATGAGAAGATTGCTATATCTATGCTCGCAGTTTCTCCCTCCAATTGTAACGGTAAGCAAGTGAGTAGTGTTTTTGTGAAAAGTAGGCTTGTCTCTGACAACCAGCCATTTCCACCGGCACTGGACTGTGACGTCACTCTTTACATGACTTACGTTCCTTGTAATACAGTAGAACCCTGACAAGACTCATCGGCAGCAGAAATGAGCACCTTTATCCCAGATAATACTTCTTATCAACCACCACACCACACCACTGCGCTCTTCGGCCGACCTCAACACGTTGCCACAGCACACCATTAGCAAAACGACACTTCAGTTGGTACTCTGCTCCTTCAGAGAGTAGCTGTTTCGATCATCAGGATCTCGTCAGTGAAGGTTGATAATGTAGAACGGCTAACAGATAGTGAACGTATTGAGGTCGGCCGGAGAGCGCAGCGGTGTGGTATGGTGGTTGATAAGAATCTGGACAAGGCCGAATGCTGCTACTCACCTCTCTTCATCATTATTACTTCTGATCCTAATATTCATACTTCAGTGTGCAGCAATAAACCCATTCTACGGACATTGTCCGCAGTAGGCTGGAGTATTATTTTAGTTTCGAGCATACATTTCAATAAGGATGAGAGAGTTTAAAAAGAGGGAAGAGTTTAGAGCAAATTTGACCCTCACAACGAGGACTCCAACCAGGAACAAACTTGTTTGGCCACCAATGCTCTCAGACCACACGTGTATGGCCACCAATGCTCTTACAACACACTTGTTTGGCCACCAATGCTCTAACAGTACGATCATGTGTTTTACAGTTTTTTGGTCTGTTAAATACTTGTTGCATTTGTGTCTATATGTACATGTACATGTATGTAGCAAGGGATCGGCATCGCCGTGTTTTGGACGAACGTCACCTGTTTCCTTATAGTGGAAATTATTCTGCACCAGTTTGTAGTGAATGTGGTCCTCGGCAGCATCTGGACACACATCTCGCATTTCCTGAACAATTTTCTCAGCTCCACACTGTGCGAAATACTATGTATACCGGTAAGCTTCGTTATGGTCTGCATTGAGATGATTGATACTGTTAGATACGATAATATGAGCATGTGATAGACCGTACTACATGCTAGGAGCAAACATTGGACACAGCCAGCTTAGCGAGCACCATTGGAATCACTTCGAAGACTGCCGGCTTTGCCCACTGTTTCGTTCTATAACATACCACCTACCAGCACAAACACATACACTATCCCCCCGCCAAACACACACACACACAAACACACAAACACACTACAACCACCACCATTACATCCCATCTCAACTCTTCTGGGTTTCTGGCCCCCAAAACCCATCAGTATAATACGCCCTTCGGTTCTATTTTAACTTCATGTACTAGTGGAGCCTCGGTGTTCTAAAATAAATTTAGATAACTAAGCACAATAAAATGTATGTAAAGGAATTGTGGAAATCGGATGGGGATCCGATGAAAAAATGGATAAAAGAGAAGGCCGTTTGGTTCGAGTTACGACTAACTGTCCACAAACGTAACGAGATCATAATCCAGTCAGCGAGTGCGACAAGAAGGCACACAACAGAAACTGGCACAGCGAGTCCAACAAGAAGGCACAAAGCCGAAGAGGAGTACGGAGACATTGCCCAACCTGCCACCTAATTCTTACACTTCTACGAGGCGTAAACCAACAACCTTCCAACGTGGAAAGATCCAAGAGGAAAGCGCAACGAAGACGAGCACAAGCATGATCTGGTTACGTTGGTGGACAGCCATACCTCGTCCTTTAACTTTTCACATAAATGATTAAACAAATGGCGAGGAGACAATAATTTGATAACCGCAATCAATAGGACAAGCTGAATCGACATTTGTGTACACTTTATTCATTAATGATTAGCTGTAATATGACGAAGCGGAACTATAGAAACAAGTAGAACACTGTGGGGCACAATTAATGCGTTAGAGTCCACCAACCAAACCAGGTTGTGAACAGTCCAACTTTCACAAAGTAGTACCAGACTGACAAGGGGTGCTGACACATTCCACGGAAAGCAAGTAAGCTTGAACACTGCTCGATAGTTCTAGCCAACGGCCTTCCACCTTAAAAGGTACAAGGGATATTCGTGATAATTCAATTTAATATTTTCCTTGGCTCACCATCTGATTACTTACAGAACTGTACAATTTTAGAAATAGAAATTAGGATGAGCCCATATGTGGAAGGCCTGATGTGAGAACTCGCAGTACATGTACTCACTGGCATGCATATGGGGATGGAGAGCCCAGGATAGACTTACAACGCACATGTATAGTAAACTAAATTTAAACAAACGGCGAGTGTTAGACTGACCGCTGTTTTTTGCGCCCCGTCGATTTTTTTCTTTTTTTCACACATGCTACATGTTCCTGTCCCAGTCATGAGCGCGTGTCGTTATCCGCCCAGTCCACATTCCTTCTCCGTTTCTCTCTAGTAATGGTTCATGAGTCCGCCCAGTCCACATTCCTTCTCCGTTTCTGTCCGTTTTTCTTTCCTTTCAGTTGCATCTTCCTCTCTGCTCTGTTTTATTTTCTCTTTTCGTTCGTCCCTCTTGATATTTGTACTTTGTACTGTTGAGGCAACGAACTGAAATAATAAAAACAAACAAACAAACAAACTTGACCTTGTTATCACTTTTGTAGCTTAGGGTATGCCACGTTTCTATGCAGAATGAGCGCAATTGCGCCAATTTTAGCCCTATAACGATCAGTCTATTCTTATTACTCTTTCATTCAACATCATTATGCCTCCACTGATGAGCTCAGGAGGAGCGAAACAGCTGTCTGGAGAGTCATTGTCAATACCAATCTATATACCGGAATTGTCCTCGCTGTGGTGATGGTGATGTGAGTGCAGAGTTTGGATCGGCCAAGAGCGCAATGTGGTGGTGTGGTGTATTGGATTCCATAATGGCCGGGTCGTCGCTACTTCTTCTAAACGACGAGGTGACAACAATTAAACCGCAATAAATTAGACAAGCTGAATCGACATGTGTGTGTACTTCATTCATGCAATGTAAAACAGTGGAGACAGTAAAATTGTATTTTCATCGCTTTATGGCACATTGTCTCCACCGTTTTACATTGCATGAATAAAACAGACAGAGAGAATAAAGTATACACAATGTCAATTCAGTTTGTCTTATTGATTGCTGTTATTAAACTTAATTTGTTTTTGGTTTCGTTCCCTTTATGTCCACCCAAGAATCTTAGAATTCTCCGTGGCTTCATAGTAAGAAGTCAATCAAGGGACTCTGATGCAACAATTCCTGTGTCATTATTGTGCGCTGCAGTTCCTGGCGATCTATCTTGCTGTGTACATACCATGGATGTGCCTGCGATTCACGCTCCGGGTTCTATGCCTACCAGTGGAAATGTTCCGGAGTCCGCTAGGGTCACGGCAAGTCTTCAACCAACGTGTGTTTGAACTCGGCGAGTTTCTACGCAGTAAGCCAATACTAAAGGTAAGACAGCGGAGCAGAGAGTCCACATCCACTTCACGACCTTGCGATGAAAATAGGAGAGCGAGTCAAAAGACATTCGTACTTTCGCTTCGTGTTAAGTGGAACCCAGTCATCGTCATGCCAGAAACCATACCTGCAGCATTTGCAAGGATGCAGCGACGTTGTGTCATTTTTATAACAGTGGCCTTAGAAACAAGGCGAGGGTTGTAATTCAGCGACCAAGAAGTAGGTCACAAGAAAGTTCTCCAGCAGCACGCAGGGCAGAGTTCTAGGACCATACATGTAGCAATTTAAAATCTTGTAGGACGCATCACGCAGCTTCATAAGTGAAAAATTGGTTTTGAGCAACACTGGCTCACACTCAAATCACTGCTTTTCACCAGAAAAATATTTTATTTCAACGTTTCGGTCATGAAATAACCATCATCAGGAATGATGATTATTTCATGACCGAAACGTTGAAATAAAATATTTTTCTGGTGAAAAGCAGTGATTTGAGTGTGAGCCAGTGTTGCTCACAACCAATTTTTATACATGTAGCAAGTCAGAATTATGTTGTAGTCCAAGCACTGGTTATGTCCATTGCGTTCTTGACTCTGTCTGTGTGTGTACGTTGTGTTCATGTGTTTTTTTCTTGCATGCGTGCACGTGCGCGCAAGCGTCTGTGAACGTGTGTGTGGGTGTGTATTGGTGTGTGTGTGGGTGTGTATTGGTGTGTGTGTGGGTGTGTATTGGTGTGTGTGTGGGTGTGTATTGGTGTGTGTGTGCTTGTGTGTATTGGTGTGTGTGTGGGTGTGTACTATTGATGTGTGTGTGTGTGTGTGTGTGTATTGGTGTGTGTGTGTGTGGGTGTGTATTGGTGTGTGTGTGTGCTTGTGTGTATTGGTGTGTGTGTGTGTGCTTGATCAGTTGTGCGAGACTGTGGTACTTTTCTTCGTGGACTACACGCCGCTCATGTTGGAGATAGTCTTGCGTCAGTGGATAGTCTACCTACGGAACTGGTTGAGTCCGTTTCTCTACCAAGCGCTTGGCAGCTGGTACCCATTCGAACCGCCTCCGGAGGATGGACAGTTTAGTGTATGTGTTCACGTTTTTCTGCGAACCTTTCTCGTATGTCTGCATCTTTGCAGAATAGTCTACATGACCTGTGGGCACTAGCTTAATCTTGTCAAGTTTTTCAGGTTGGGAAATCGTATTATGTAATAGGGAGTTTGAAACGAAATTCTCGATGTCAGTCTATGCCACGCTCCCATGTTGAGAATTGCAGAACGTTAAGGATTCTAAAATCATGACAAGAAAACAATGTGTTCCAGATAGTTGTACCGACCTCGGTTATAATTTGTAGGAAAGTGTCAAATCGCGACAAGCTATTCATTTCATTCTTTATTTCTTTCCTTTTACAGGAAAACCCGTATGACTGGAACTCTGGTCTGAGCGAGAACACGGAAAGGATTGTGCTAGGCTATGGAACGTGCACGTGTGGAGTATTGATCTCCTGCTGTGGTGGTACTGCTACCTTTCTCGGCCTGCTGGTACTGTCCTGTGGCATAGCGCTACTCTCCAGATCCTGGCGATTACGCAACGTTCACGTGGAAATTCCCTCATCCTCGGAACCTGAAGAATCCAGAGCGCGGCAGCAGGGTTCGAAAGTTAATAAGCCGAAAACGCAGGCCCAAAGGAATTGGCAACGTTCCCTCTCCACCCTGGATCACCGCCGAAGGACGCAGTTGTCGGCCCGGGGTCGTGATGAGTCGTCCGAGTTCAATACTTCAGTACAAAGCAGACGGGAAAGTGTTATGAGTGCTGATTATCCCAATCTTGCTGATGATCAAGCTCTTGATGACGAACAGGTCGTCGGAGAAGATCTACGACCTGATGAGGGGTTGCTGGATCCTTCAGGTATTGTTGAAGACACTGGAGAAGAAGAAACCGAAGAATTCGACCCTGGATCGGTTCAGGGTGTTTCGGAACGAACGGTTGGGTTTAGTGACGTTGTCGACGAACGTGACACCTTTGGACGGCGTAACACCCACTCTTTGTCAACAAAAAGAAATCGGAAAGGCAAATCGGTGGATCTAGGTGATTTGAGTACAGACGAAGAACTCGCTGCTCTGGTATATCGAATGCGAGCCAAGTCGTTTCCGTGGACATCCCAGCGTTCTTGGCCCGTCCCTGACAGCCCCTCATGGGACGACCCTAAAGTAATCCTACGATCTAACGACAGGCGGTACAGTCTGGGTCCAAGGGCGGAAAGGAAAGCTAAACAGACCAAGGCAAAGTGGAGAATGTCTGCTGAATACGAATGGAAATCTGTTGACAAGTAGAGCTCGATGGATTTTTCATATGGGACAAGTACCTCGAATGTTTGAGTCAGTTTTAACACGATCAGCAGCTTTTGTACCAATCATTGCCTTGCGTAGTTCAATGTATAAATGATTGTTGCACACACACACACATACACATACACACACACACAAACACACACACATACACATACACACACACACACACAAACACACACACACATACATGTACCTCTACACACACCATGCACCAAGCAGGCATCTCTTTGGATTACCATTACACGTACACGTACATGTACATGTTCAGGTATACTTCTTTCACTGTTGCATTTTGAAAACTTCCAACTTCCAGTGCCCCACCGAGGGCAATATTCCGTTTTGTGTAAATAATTGCGTCTTGCGATCGTTTTCAAAGTACACGAGTCATACTTCGAAGTACATGTAACTATTATGACCTGTCTTAACTCTTGGTCTCCGATCATATTCCTCTTTCGTATTATCTCGATTTCTTGTTGACAACAAAGCAACCTGACTAACAGAAAAACAGACATGTTGGCGCATCGACTTTCGTTCTGTAATTTACTTTACAGAGCAACACAATGCACTCTTTATCCGGGTTTCTCGAGTGTCTAAAATTCCGCATTTTTTGCCCCCTCCCACTCCTCCGCGCTAATCTAGTCTACAGCATGTATGCCCTGCAATGTAGTGTGACCGAGTCGAGGACATGTACTTGTGTTGTGACTGTATTGTTTGGAGCATTACCGGTATTCACCAAAGCCTAGCCATCCGCGCGTGCTGCTTGTGCAGTCACAGCCCAAATATATGATGTATGCCAAAAAATATCGCATATCATGCTCTTCGCGTATTGGTCACTTGTTGCAGAATATCCTTCGAAATCACCCAAAAGCAGAACCATAATATTATTATGCTTGCTTGTCACGTCGCAACCCTACAAGATTCAGTGCGGTGTGCAGCAGTACTTCGATTAAGTTCGATCCCTGCAGTAGCACCTACAAAGTACAAAGGTCATACACAAACACCACCACAGTTCATAAAATGCAACTGATATGCGATTTCTTTGCTCCCTATCAAAGTATGCTACATTTGTTACTTTGTGGGACATTGGTTCAAAAGGACCAACATAATTTTATGCTAAAATATGCACAAGCAATTTCGAGCCCTCCCTAGCTTTCACCGCATGTGCACCGGTGGTTGTAATGCGCAGCTCACAGAGCTCAGGCACTAGACTTGTGACGTTGAATGACGTAACCATAGCAGTGGTTGACCTAGTAGTAGTACTGTACTAGTAGTACCTACATGTACATGTACATGTACACTCATGATAATAATAATTATTATAACCTAACACTGGTTAAAAACCTTTGTAGATGAAATTCAAGTTTTCTTGACCAGTACTAGTTTGCGTGGCAGCATCAACAGCAGGCAGGTTAACGAGTGGAGGTAACCAACGTGTAGCCGGGGTGTTGCGACGTGGTGAAGGCCTACCCATGGCCACGTCGGGACATCACCAACCCCGTCTACAGAGAGCACCTTCTCGCGACAGTGTCATGGTTATGACAACAAAACTGTTGACAGTTGACGAGCTGAGAGAAGGACGCCATGGGCAGAAGTTGGAAGAAAAAAGAAAATGTAAAAGAAATCTTTATACAAGTTAAAGAAAAGAGCGAAGAAAACAAGACGCCATCAGGAGTAGTCTCCTAACCCCCTAGCATAATGAGGGTCAGAACCGGGTGCGATACCCATATGGTTCAAATGGTCCGCAGGGACCGGGGCTTTGCCAACCGCGAAAGGTTGTAGTAAGGTCACTGTTTCCGAACACAATGTCCTCCACCTTGTTTCATGCTGTCAATCTAACAATTACATGTATGCACAATCATGTAACCATGGTAACTAGTACTACAGTAGTACTGTGGTCGGCTAGCACTGCTAAAAAAAAAGGTCCAGCATCACTCGCTAGTAGCCCTTTCCCAAAGGTGCTCTTTTAATTCGCACTTAGGGCTTTTCGCGTCCCTCCAAATATCCTGAAAAAGTGCTCTTTTTTAAGTGAAAACAGGCAAAAAGTGCTTTTTTCAGTGAAGCATAGCTATGATACATGTTCAGATATGAACCCAAGCTGAGGAATGAATACGCACTCTGCCAATTATGGGTCCACGAAAGGCAAAACAGGAAGTAAAGTAAAAAAAACCCACTTTTTACAGCATGGTGTACCGGGTACAAGCTTCACCAAGTTGTTGCCTCCCAAGAAAGCGGCGTGCCAAGGCCCATCGAGCACTCGTAAACTGTGATCGCATGCTTGAGCAAACAGATTTTAGCACTTTTTCAGCTAAAAAAGCTCAAAAAGGGCGATATTCACCAAAAAACACAATAAAGGGCGAAAGAAACGGGCTTTTCCAAAAAGGGCGAAAAAATGGGCCAGCACCTTTTGGAAAGGGCTACTCGCTAGTCGCTGGCGGCTGGGTACAGTCAGTGCTGTACTCTGACTGAGTACTGTAAACATGTACATGTACATGAAAGTACAAATTTTCGTTCACGATATCTTTCGTTAGATCACTCCGCCTGCAGGCTTGCTACGTACCTAAATTTCGTTTTTGGTCGAGGTCTAGTCTGCCCCCCGAACGTTCAGAAAAAAAGCATTAATTTGGTACAAACTTTAGTTATTTCTTGCCCCCTAACGAATAGTTATAGCGGAAGTTAATTCCAAACGAAAATTTGTACTTGTACAGTAGATTATACCAGTGCAGTTTCCAACACGGACATCATATCAGTATTCAAAAACTGACAAAATAATAATAATCGGTCTACTGCTGATATGTACAATGTACACTACTCAATAGGCGAGTGGTTAATGGGAAGAGGTGTATGGTCAACGGGTACGCATGTACATTGTGCATGTAACTGTACTAAGTATCTGCTACTAAGTACATGTACAGTCAACTTCGCTTATAACGACACTCGGCGGGGCATCAAAAAGGTGTCCTTATTCGCGAAGTGTCGTTATACCCGAAGTCTCATTTTGTATTAAAGTGGGATGGGACTTTTCTCTGGGCATGGAAATTCTGTCGTTATTCGCGAATTGTCGTTATATCCGCAGTCGTTATTAGCGAAGTTCACTATACTAGTAAAAGTTACAAGTAACAGTTACCGGTACAGTTACTTCAGCTATATAAGATGAGGCCAGAGAAATGTTTCTACCTCTGAATCTGACCTAAAAAATTCGCGCCAAGGGGCTAGGGACCGGCGGGTTCTGCTCGAAAAGGTGGCAGATTCTGCAGTGAAAAAGCAGTGAAATTGGCAGAACCATACAAACCTTATGGCGGGCAATTCCTCGAATTCTGCTCCATTTTTTATCCACATACCAAACATGCATGAAACCTACCAAAAAAGGTACCGAATTCTGCCAATTTTTCTGCCGGCAGAATCCGCCGGACCCTACCAGGGGCCAGGGCTACGGGGCTGAGAATGCACCGCACACACACACTCTTCAAATGTACTGTATAATTCATTGTGTCGGATTCTGTGCTTGACTATAGTGTACATGTACATGTATGTAGTAGATCTACTAGTAGGGACTGAATACGATGTCAAACATGTACATGCAGCATGTACAAACCGAGTAAGAGATCGAGGCGAAGCCGAGGTCTTTTATGAGGTTATTTCCCTATTGACCTAGTAGGAAGTCAATATTTATTAGCCAAAGCATGTGTGATAACTTACTAATAAGGAGTCAAATACATGTACATGTACATGTCCATGTACATGTACATGTACTTCAAAAAGTACAATGTAACTGTTATAAGCAGTCACTCCCATAGATTTTTGGTGTAACTAAGCAGTCAATATTTGACTTTTTTTATAATTATGGATGAACTAGTACAAGAAAAAGCTATGGAAGTCAATACTATGACATATTAAACCTAACTGTAAATCTAACAATTGAGTCAAGACTAGTAAGGGAGTGACTGTATTACTAGTATTAGCTCGTTTTACCGTATGCCCTGGGATGATAACCATGATCAATGACAGGAGCGCAGCAGTTACTACTGTACGCCCGTCATAATGCTTGCACATACTAGTACTTGCGTGGGGTAGTGCCTTTGCTGTTTGCGTTAGTACTAGTAGTAGTAGTCATTTTTACTTTGTAGCGAAAGACGAAGGCGTGAGCAGATCCGTAGGATGGTCTGTGTGTACGATGATTCCACAACTCGTCTAAAACTAGCCACATTAGGTTCTATTTCGCTCTCTCTCTCTGTCATAGTGCAGGGTAGACGTAGGAAACAGACAAGAGCTAGCTAAGAGGCCAAGTTCGGTGTTGACGTAGTTTGAATTCTGGTGCACGCGCTTGCCCGAGCGGTGCTGCAAAGCACTGCGGATCTGGAAGGTGAAAAGCGCGCGCCTTCGTTTAGCCAGATCAAAAAGGTCAACATGCTAGACACTAAAGACAGTACCCCTGAAACGAACAGAACACTATGCTTCTCGACTTGCGTCGAGATGTTGGCATTAGGCACGAAATGATTTTATTACGTGTAGAGATGACGAACATGGACCGGGCGTCACAGGCAAGATGACGGAGACTGAGAGAACTGTGAACATAGACGTTCGTTCTTGTGAAATCGACGAGAGTTACAGCCCAAACGAGAAGTGCATTTGCTAGTACGACTTGTCTTGGTGCAGTGGTTGAATCAGCCGTGTTGAAGCTTGAAACACACTTGAGTGTTTCTCCACTATTCTGCCGCATCTGCCAGCATCGCCAAGAGGACGGCAAAGGCGCTGGGACCTAACTGGATCAGTCGTATCTCCATGTACAGCAATTCGAATTCTGGCAAAACCAAATATTTGACTTAGGTCACTCCTTGCCCGGGGCAGGGTGAGGCCCAAGTAAAGCCATGCCTCGGTTGGGAAGGTATATGTGCTGCATGAGCCTCACTGAGGAGGAGCTGGCTGCCAGAGAGCGCAGCAGGCAGCTCGACAGAGATACCGCCCAGTGGAAGCTAGCGGAGGACAAAGTCATGAAGCTGCTACTGCTGGGCGCAGGAGAGTCGGGAAAGAGCACCATTGTCAAGCAGATGAGAATCATCCATACGGCGGGCTTCACGGAAGAGGAACGAAGGTCTTGGATACCCGCCATGCATAAAAATATCATAGAAGGTCTGGCTACGCTGGTGACGAATATGGTGGAGCTGAACATTGATTTCGAGCACGAATCCAATCTGGATATCGCATCTGATGTCGTGGAACTGGCAAAGAATGACGTCAAGCGGCTCACCAGGGAGGATATGGACGCCCTGGAGCTACTGTGGCAGGACGAGGGTGTACAATGCTGCTATGGGCGGCGACGGCAGATGAACCTGAGTGATGGCATTGCGTACCTGTTGCACAACATCAGCATCTACAAACAGCCCGACTACATTCCGAAAGACGACGACATTCTGCACATCCGCGTGGAGACCAAGGGAATAATCCAGGTGGAGTTCACGCACCGTAACACGCAGTTCTCCCTCTACGATGTCGGCGGTCAGAGAAAGGAGCGGCGGAAATGGGTACATTGCATGGACAACTGCAATGCGGTGCTCTTCTGCGCTTCGCTGTCTGAGTACGACGCCTTTCTCGCCGAAGACCAGACGGTGAACCGCATGAAAGACAGCCTGTCCATCTTCAAATACATATCTAACAGCGAGCATCTTGCCAACGTCTCTCTGCTGCTCTTCCTGAACAAAACGGATCTCTTGGAGGATAAGGTCAGCAAGTCACCAATAAGCCGATACTTCCCCAAGTACCAGGGCCCAAACTCGTTCGATTCGGTCGCGTCCTTCATCGAGAAACTATACATGGATTCGAGCACCAAGCGAGAGGCAGGGAAGATCTTCGTGCACCGAACGTGTGCCACAAACACCAACGTCGTGCGCAAGGTGTTCGAGTTCTCCGCCCGCACAATAATAATGGAGAACCTGGAAAAATGCGGTCTGATGTGATGCGGGACGTCACCTAACGGAAGTTGAAACACATAAGGGCTTGTATCAACCCAGATGTGTATTCTTCGTGTTTATATTATAATTATTATATATTTCATTTTTGGAGCATTCCTTACTAAAACCCCGCCCCCTCTCCCCTCCCCCCCTCCCTCCCCCCCCCCCCCACACACACCTGCTACAGGTCTTCATTTTAGGCACAACAAACTAAATGAGACATTATCTCCGTAGACCTGAAGTGATCTTGAATTCCTACCTGCCAGTCGTCCTACAGCTTCAAATCCTACGCTCAATCGCATCTTCCCTAAAAATTTCCTTGATGCCAGTCCAGTGAAATACTTTCTTACCCTATGCTATGTACACCTTCGTACACACTTCCTGTGCTTTATCTGCTGAGCTTTTGCATACCCACTTTTCAGCACAGTTCTTCTTGTCTATTGTACAGGCACCCCTCGCTCGCCATCTGGAAGAAAACACCGTAGTGACGCGCATATAAGAGCATCTGCCTATACCCGGGCATAAGCGCACCCTCACGAATAAGCGCATGGGCTTACATGTATAAGTGAACCTAAATTCAGTCCATCCTGCGACAAACAGACCCCACAAAACACCATATTCACATAACGTTAGCTTAATGTGCATTGCGGTATTGCACTGTGTGCATAATTGTGCGTGGTACCGGTACACTAGCAACTCAAGCGCATGCGCCAATGTGTGAGACAAAACGACCCGCCAAAAATAGCAAATAGCGCAAAAACTTACTCAAAAGCGTATGGGGCTTTGTGTGCGTCACTACGGTAGCTGGTTACAGGTTTACAGCATACATGTAGATGTACGTGATGCAGCCAACATAACCAGTGTTGGGTTATCTGGTTCCCTCGCCTATCAGGATAATGTTTTGGAAACGGATGTGTGTGGTTAAGCGAGGTCTGACTGTACATGCGAATTCATACTCTCAATTTCATACGGCTATTGTGTGTTTCGTTTCTTCTTGTACATGGACATACATACGCTCTCGCTGGCTTTCGTTATAATTAAAAGGGCCTGCAGGGATCGGCCCTTGTAAATTGTTCTGATGATGGGTGACCGGCCCTAAACGTCAAAAATTTTCGACATCACAAGTCTCTATCGCTATCGTCATGTACGATGAAGTGATGCTACCGCTTGCGTAGACCATTGGGAAGATGCGTTGCAGAGAGCTATCCAAACAAGAACTGCTTCGGCATACTATTGTTGGTCATCCGGCCAACGTGCCCGGGCCAACGCAGTCGCAGACAACCCCCCCCCCCCCAACACACACACACACACACACACACGTGCATGCACACAAAAACACCCACACCCACACACACATGCACACATATACACACTCACACTACCACCATCACCATGTATACGCCCGTCGCAAGAGAAGCACGCAAATCTGCAAATGCACTGGATGTGCACCTCACCTACAGATTTTCTCTTATAAGTTATAGCAACGATAGCGAACAAGATCCGAATGAGACAGATCAAGACTTGCGCCAGATAATCCACACAACTGGCGAAGCCATGGGAATCGACCACCAATGCACACCTGGTCTACACCACACGGAGTACATCGCCATAAAACGGCCAAGCACAGACACACACACACACACAGACACACACACACACACACTGACACACACACACACACACACACACACACACACACACACACACACACACATTTGAAAACCAAGCCACATTATGAGGCCATTTTGATATTCAAGTATAATTTCATATAAAATCGCAGAACAGCATAATGAAGAAATCATTATCACTGGATTGTCTTATGCACATTATAGAAATGCTAAGAAGACCACTGTTCCGCAATGAGAAAACAAGGAATTTTGAAACTTCTCAACCTACCTAACCTTGTGCAACGGAATATTGAGTGCACAGTTAATTTTGTTCATAGCCTAAAAAAATACAATAGAGCATTTCTATATAATTTCGATGGACAGACTCTATAACGTGGAAAAAGGCACCTATGAATATAATTCCAGAAGACAGAATTTCTGCAAAAATATCTGACAAATAACATCGTACAGTGTTAGCCAGTGTCCACAGGGCTAAATGTGTGTTTGTGTGTGTGTGTATGTGTGTGTGTGTGTATGTGTGTACGTGTATGTGTGTGCATGCACACGCATGTGTGTGCAAGGCAACGAGATTTTGCTATGATCGATGTTCAATGGCCACATTCAAGGTTCAATGTGTGTGTGCGTGCGCGAGCATGCGTGCCCACGCACTTCGGTGTGTGGGTGTGTATGCGGCAGGCGGGCACAAACCGCATGGTCGACTGTCGACCGTCACACATCACTGATACCATCAGTGACCAAGAGTCGTAGGCGGCTTATCAGCAGCGAGATATGGTTCCTCCGTCGTAACACGAGTATATCGAACAGGACCACAGCCAGCAGGTTTCAATTATTAGTCTTACAGTAGGTATTCATACTTTGTGAGTGATCAAAGTGATTACATAATAATAAAAATCTTCACTAGGAGAGATGCGTTTGTAGGCAACCTGATGGTCTGATGATGACGGACCGGACAAACCAGATTGCTTCCGGCCGGCCTAGCGATGGTCCTCATCTCGCTCCCATTTGGTCTCCTTTTTGATCTGATAGAAGTATGGGAGTAGAGGTGTGACAGCATTACTTCGGTGTGGAGATGTCCAATGTACACTGCTGACGTGGAGCGTAGTAAGTGCAGAGGGTATCTGTCTGCAGGTCGGCATATGCGAGGGCAATGAGAAATCGAGTTTCTCGCAGCACGCTTATAGACGGTTCACAATTTCGTACAAGGACTCCAGAACCACTTCATCGTAAGACGGCAGCTCGTCTTGTGGCGGATAGTCACTTGGCACGTGTCTGAGTTCAGAAACGGCATCATTCAGATTGTTCTCTGCCGGAACACTGTATCCAGGTGGAGAGGTTGAATTGTCCGCCTCTCCAATGGATCCGGAGACATCGTGGGAGGCAGTTACTGTGTCAACGTCAGCCCCTGGCGGAGTAATCTCATCTTCTACTCTCGGCAACGACATCGCTGTGTTGGGGTTTGCACCGGAGCTCAGCGTGCCATGCGCTACTGTAGGCGGCCTAGCAGAAGACCGCTGTGAGCTTGGACGTTGAATAGACAATACAGTGGAACCGGGCACAGGGGTGCTACTATTTCTCACGGCGGTGGACGCAGCTGGCGGTGGACGACCAGCAGGCGGCCGCCTACCTGGGTGCAACGTACTCCGTGCCCGTATCTCGGCATCGCGGCGCTTTCTTCTCACAGTCAAACAGCCAGATAGAGTTAGTGCGGAGCCTATCAGCAGGGTGACACCACCTGCGCCAGCCAGAGGAATTATCAACAATCCAAGACCAGTAAAAAAGGTGACAATGCCTATGCTGAGCAAGACTAAACCGCATACGAATGTAACTACACCACATCGAGTGCTCGCCATGGGTACAGCTTCGCCGTCTATCACATTGGGTTGCGTGAACCGATCTGGGGACACAGTCAGAAACAGACACAGAGAGAGAGAGAGAGAGAGAGAGAGAGAGAGAGAGAGAGAGAGAGAGAGAGAGAGAGAGAGAGAGAGAGAGAGAGAGAGAGAGAGAGAGAGAGAGAGACACACACACACACAGAGGTAGACATGCACGCTCCCTTGCAAGCACTCATACACACACACCAACAAATACCAACACACACACACACACACACACACACCACGCAAACAAACACATAAACACAGGAAACACACACACACACACACAAATTTGACGGAAACCGCACGCAACAACACCGTCCACACCAGGCAATTTTCGCACCGAGCTTGAGGATTATTTGCACAATTCCGTATTGGGCAGATTATTCGGTGTGGTCCAGGCATGAGAGTACAGAAACATATCCACAGAGAGTCACTCAATCATGTAGTGAGAAGTTTTAAAAATTATCACGTAATCGAATTTGGATTGTTACCTTTGCACAGACACACATATCGAACTCACTCCGACTGTCTGCGCACGCATCACCCCCCCCCCCCCCCCCCCCCACACACACACACATACTCAGACATGCCCATCGCGGAAGCGATGATATCGAACAGCTATGTTAAGCATAGCCACTTGTGCTGTGATTACACCAATCAATAGCTCGCAACGCTGACGAACACACAAATACACTCAAACACATGCACCCCCCCCCCCCCCACACACACACACACACATACACCACATACACACACCATGGACGTCAAGCGGCGCAGGGCGCTGGCCATGCAGCCACGACTACGCATCATATCAACTCGTGCACTGCATGCAACGTTCTGTAAGCACTGGGGGCGAGGGCCCCACGTCATTCGAGCGGATTTCCATGTCCACGGCAGTACCGTGTACACTAGTATGTATGACGCGAGAGAAGCATGCAAATCTGCAAATGCACAGGACGGGTTGAATACGGTAGGCAGCACGCTCCGCAGGCTAGTGGTCAACACACACACACACAAACACACACACACACACTCATGCGTCCACTTGAGCAAACTAACCCACACCATTAAAACAATAGGTATTAAAGAAGTTGGTTGCTCCAACGAGGAACACACGCTTCTTGCCGAACTTGACGCTTGGAGCAACCAACTTCTTCACTAATATCGCCGAAGTCGCAACTTCTAAGTAGGTACTTCCTCCGTATACAAAAACTTCGTGACTTTTTTTTTAAGGCTGCGCATAGCTCTGGAATTGTTCCGTTTGACTTGGAATAACACTCGTGGCATTGTCTAACCTGTTTACAAGCTATATACAAAGAAAAGAGCAACTCAGACGAATGAGATTGAGTTTATTCAGAGTCTTCGTCGCTCCTGTCATTGTCACCTGACGACGCTGACTCCGCATCGCCAAAAGTCGCTGCTTCGCTCGCATTTCGTTCAGATTCTTTTCAGCTGCAATGATGATCCGACGCGGGACTTTGGCTAGCGTACTCTTCATTCCCAGAGCTGTGTACGAATCGGTGTCGACTATATTCAGTCGTTCCAACCCGCGACCTCCATTATGCCGTGAAACGAGTCGCTCAAGCACATCCACACGCTTCGCATTTTCTCGGCAGGAGAATCCTCCCGAGCATTCTACAACGGCTGCGACGAGGTCCCTGCGATTCCCCTCCTAGGCCACAACGGAGACGTCTGATTGTAGTGGAGAGAGGCGAAGAAAGCCAGGTCGTCGACATTCCGATCCGGAGTCTGCGCTGGTTGCACGACGACTGAAATGTTTCATCTTTCCGTGCGAGCGGAACCGATTTATTTTCTCACGCTGCGTATGGGGCCGCGCACCGAAAGTACGAGCCTGGCCAGTTTCAGGGCAGCGAGTGCCGCGTGAGTCGTGACTCCGTGCTCCAGGCCGGCGCGAGCTCCACTTCGTCACGGTGTCAGTTTCGAGCAAGTAAGTCACACTAGTAAGTGTTAGTTTGTTTGATATTTGACTCGTGAGTTCCTGTCGGCAACATCCTCACACGCATGGCTTCCGTGGAGAATCTGTTCGAGATCAACCAAACCTACCTCAACATGAATGTGCGTTGTCGATGACAGCCTTTGGCGCGGTTCGTTGAGCAGGTTCTTGCTCAAAAACACCGTTGAAAAAAAGTCACGAAGTTTTTGTATACGGAGGAAGTATTAAAGTATTATAATATTATACTTCTTTCTACAGAGAATGAACATTACATCATCACTACTGGATCACTCAATACTTTATCCATCGATAGTGATGATAAGATTACCATCGGTCCACATTAAATTCCAAAATACAATTTTTCAGCGAAGTAAAACTAAGGGGACAAGACAAGTTGTAGCATCTGGGATAACTCAGTGTCAGAACACGTACGTTAATGTAAATGCAAATGTGGTGGTGGTGTGTGTATGTTTGTGTGTGTGTGTGTGTACGATTTATCTGAGTTTTTCCGTCGTTCTTCTTACTAGTCTTAGGCCACGGGGTGGCTCTGGGTTCACCAGAGTCGCCCCTGGCGTGTTCCTAAATTTCCTGGGGCGAGGGTTCCGCGGCGCGGTCGCCAGGGCAGTTTCTTTTCTGTCACGACCGTTGTCGTCCTCGTCTCTCCATTCGCGGTGGTGTAGCTGACCCCCGAATGGTTCCAAACTGCGAAGCTCAGAGAGTACTGTCAGGAAGGCGGAGGAGAGGAAGGCTGCGAACATTGGCCTTTGGATCTTGGAACGTCCGCACTCTGGTCAACAATGACGGACCGGTCGAGACGGCAAAGAGACGAGTGAATTTTGAAAATTTGAATTTTGTGCCCGTCGTGGAGGACAGAAAGATCGACTTGGTTATCCGTGAGCTGTCCAGGTTTGACGTGGAAGTGGCTGGCCTGCAGGAAACCAAATGGTTTGGGAGAGACTCTTTCAACATCGGCGATGCGACTGTACTCGCCTCTGGTCGCCCCGTACCTGACGAAAATTTTCGTCGTGGCGAGGGTGTTGCGCTGGTTCTGCGTCGGAGGGCCAAGCAGGCATTTGAACGTGCAGGCTGCCAGTGGAGGCCCGTCTCGTCGCGCATCGTGACGGCCAGGTTGAGATTTGAGCACGGGTGGATGTCAGTGATTTCATGTTACGCTCCTACGTTTCGATCCCCCCATGCTGACAAGGAAGAGTTCTTTGCTCAGTTCCAGTCTGCTCTCAGCGATGTCAACTCTGCTGATGACGTCATCGTCCTGGGGGATTTCAACGCTCGTGTTGGTTTTGGCCCACAGCAACTAGAGATGTGGCAGGGAGTGCATGGATCACATGGTGTTGGTGATGTGAACGATGCTGGTCATCGACTACTCACATTCTTGGCGTGTCAACAGCTCACAGTATGTAACACACTGTTTCCCAAGAAACGCATTCACATGTACACCTGGCAACACCCTGGATCACAGAAGTGGCATTGTATAGATTATGTGTTCGTACGCCAACAACACCGTAAACGTTGCATGGACTGTCAAGTGATGCGCACTGCAGAGTGTAGCACAGACCACCGTCTTGTCCGCATGAAATACCGGCTACCTGACGTTGTGCAGCAACGGTACCATCATGATGCACGTTCCAGGCCGCGGAAGTTTGCTGTTCACCAATTCAATCGGAAGCCATTCATGAGTGAAGAGGAGGCTGAGCGTGTGGCTACTGTACGTGCTGAGTACTGTGCTAGTCTTGAATCTCGTTTAGCCACGTATGACCGCGCCTCGTCTGTGGACTGTAAGTGGAGTACCGTGAAGTCGGCTGTTGTTGACGCGGCGGAGCAGGTGGTTGGTCGGGACAAGCGGCGGATGCCAGATTGGTTCCGTGACAATGCCCTTGTATTGGAGCCTCTACTGGAGTCTCGTAATACCCTGTATAGCCAATGGCTGAGAAGCGGCAGGGACTCTGATCACCGGGCGTTCAAAGAAGCGCGTGGCCGGGCTCGTACTGGTATCCGGAAGGCAAAAACAACTTGGTTGATGGGCAACGCGGCGGTGGTGCACCGTGGACGTTTCAGTGGCAAAGCTGTCTGGTCTGCCATTCGCGACATGCAACGCTGCTTTGGGGGCTTGCAACCCCTGTCTGTCCAATCCATCCGCAATGCCGATGGAGTTCTTTGCGAATCTGTTCAGGAGCAGCAGGGCACATGGCATGGGCATTTCTCGGGTGTCTTGAATGTCTGCAGTGTGTACGATCCGCATGTCTTCCAACTTATCCCTCAGCGTGAGGTCGAGGACTCCCTCTCACTGCCACCATCGGAGGATGAGCTGACTCAGGCAATTAGACACCTACAGAATGGCAAAGCTGGTGGTATGTCACAGATTGTGCCGGAGCTGCTGAAGGTTGGTGTGCCTGTCCTCCATCCACTCCTCCTGGACCTACTCCAATCTGTCTGGTCGGGGGGTTGCGTGCCCCAGGACTGGCGCGATGCACTGCTGGTACCGATTCCAAAGAAGGGCGACCTCTCTCGCTGCGATAATTGGCGAGGGATCGCATTGCTGGAGGTTGTCGGCAAGTTGGCTGCTCGGATCATGCAAAACCGATTGCAAGGTATTGCTGAGGCGGAACTGCCTGAATCCCAATGCGGGTTTCGGCGGCACCGTGGTTGTGGTTGTGTGGTTGTCCGTCAACTTGTCGAGAAGTCGTACGAACATCGATCGAAGCTCTTCTGCGTATTTGTGGATCTCCGCAAAGCATACGACTCTGTCCCTCGCGAAGCTCTTTGGCAGGCATTGCTGCGGCTGGGTGTGCCGCCCCCGACTGTGGCCATCATCAAATCATTCCATACAGACATGTCAGCTTGCGTTCGCGTTGCCGGTGGTTGCACGGATCCGATATCTGTCAAGAATGGGCTGCGCCAAGGGTGCGTTATGGCACCTGTACTGTTTAACTTGTACTTCGGCTTAGTTATTGAGCGTTGGCGATCCCTTCTCGTTGAGCGTGGAATAGAGTCTGGTGTGGACTTCAGCTTCACAATTGATGGCCAGCTGTTCCCTCGTGTCACTAGGCGTCGTCCCCACTCCGAGTCCGGCCATGCTGATGACTTCGAGTTTGCGGATGATGCTGTACTGCTCGCTACAACTCGCAACGCAGCCGATCAATCCCTGTGTGCCTTTTGTGAGGTCGCATCCAGCTTGGGTCTCACAGTGAGCATGACCAAGACCAAGCTTCTCGTTGCAGGTTTCGGAGTT